TTATCCTAAAATCATGACAAGTATATCTAGATTTCAAATATAACCAGACCCAATAAAAATTCACTGGGAAAGCAAAGCATTGGGTTAATCCCCAATTTTATTTGGTATATTGTTTCCATTGACAGTTTTATGTCAAATCCTCTGTGAAGTCTTCTGCTAACTTCTATGGTGTGAATTAAGCTCTCTGAGCATGAATTCCATTTTTCTTTGTTTTATCATTTCCTTTCTGCATGTCTGTTTCATCAAACTGAATGCCCTCCCCTTAGAAACAAGGGATTTGTCATATTCATAACCTTCATGTTTGGCACAGGTATATACCCACATTTGTTAGATGTGTACTTATAGTCTTGCAAGAAACTGGGTACAGCACTAGCTACCTTTGTCTTGTGGACATGAAAAAGCAGACTCATATACAGTGTATATATTACTATACAGGATGGGGCAAAAGTAGGTTTACAGTTCTTCATATGGAAAATGATATAATAATTAATAAATAAGAACTCAAGATTAAACTGTGTTTCACATACTCACAGCTGTAAACCTACTTTGGCCCTGCTCTGTATATACTGTATTCTCATATCCTTCCCTCTACCAAAAGTTATTTCTGTTGGCTAGTTAATTCTACTCCTCCAATATTTAGGCAGCATCAACTGCATTCAAAATATGTTAACAACAGATCGTGCCATGTTAGCAGAAATTGTTTTAAATGCAGCAATCCCTGGTAAATCTTATGCTGGTAATTCTAGTGGCTACATTTATTGAGCTGCACTAATGAGCCTGGTGCTCTGCTAAATACATATGTCATCTAACTTGATCCTCTCAACACCTTATGACATAGAAACTATTGCTTTTCCTTTTTGGCAGTGCTTGCCTTTGGAACAAATGCATACCAAAGTACAATTTTAAAAAGACTCCTTGGGTTGTTAATTCCAGTTGCCGAAGCAAGTAAGGTTGTTACAACAGGAGGAAAATTTATTTATTTACAAAACAAAAAAGGTCATTTTATTAAGTGTCATCCTCTTCTGCAGATTTATAGACTCATGGTGATAAGAGAAACAGAGAAACTATACTAAAGCACATGGATTTGTAGATACGGTGAACTAGGGGCTTGCTGGAGGTCATAGGGTACGTTAGAGGCAGAGCTGATACTCTGGATTCTGATTTGGTGCAGGACAACACATTGCAATTCTGCCCCTTCTCACTGTGCCTCAGAGCGATGCAAAGTTTCGTGCTTTGATCACACCTACCTTATGCATATTGACTATTTCCCTCTCTTTAAATATGTTTCTCTTTTCTGCCAAACCAGTGCAGACTGGAATGTTATAGAACAAATATAGTAAACACATAATAAAAAATAAAGGGTAGCAAGCTGGCAAAATTCACAATGTTCCTTAAAAGCCAGAGTGCAAATGCTTTTAGAAAAGGCCTGCGCTCTCTGGACCTACTGCCCTCCATAACTGTATTCTACTTGCTGCTTCATTCAGACAAGTTGGTTGTCTAGCCTCCATTGTCACATGGGCCAGTGTGTAATTTTCAAGGCACTGAACACACAGTACCTCAGCCAACTCACACAACTCCCATAGAGCAATCAATACTGACCACTGCCCCCAAAGCCCTTCTTGTGGATGACCAGTTTGTAGACCTTTGTCGTTCTCATCTTGCACTGTTTTTTTCCTTCAGCTGTTCCAAGCCTGGAGGAGCGAAGTCATCTTGACTCCCTGCCATTGAAACACAGACAAAAGGGCTGTCAGATTTTTCCTTGCAATTGCTCTTTGATTTTTAGCTACTGAAAATACTGGTGTTGTTTAGCTAAGAGGTGGTACCAACCCTTGGATGAAATCACTCTTCCAAGTACAAGGAGGGATGGAGAAAAAATAGACACAGAGAATCTGGGAACCAAGGAGAATTCGGGCCAGGCTCTAGTCTAACCTCCAAGAAAATATTCTATCACACTCCCATAGCGAACACTTGTAGTGAACGGAGCACTCATTACCTTGCCTCTGTCTACATCAATAACACTCAAATAATAAAGAGATATTAGGAGGTAAGCACACTTATTCTGTAGATGAGAAAAGTGTGGGCCAGAACAAGGCCAAAGTCATTCAGAGACTGAAAGACATTCCCACAGTTCACATTTTGCCGTCAATGTCTTGGGAAAGAGAGTATAAATGGGAGGAAGGCAAGGGTTCATTCCCCAAATCCCCATTTGCATAAACTGTCAGCAGTTCCTCCCCCGCAGACACTTATTTCACAGCTGAGGCCACTGAGGTTCAGAGAGGTAAAGAGTCTTGTGTAAGGTTACACAGCGGGTGGGGGGTGAGGCCAGGACTCGAACTGGAGCCTCGGCCCCCTCTCCCTCTTGTTCCCCAAACCCGGGCCCCGGCTGGCAGCTCCACTCACCCGCGGCTCCGGAGCCCCTTCCCGCTTCAGGCCGGGGCAACGAGGATCGGAACCTCGCCAGGTCCCTGGCGTTTCCTCGGGACGCCCTACCTACGCCCCGACAGCCCGTGCAGCTTTCGTGCCCAAGCTCTAGGGGCCAACCCGCCCGCCCCAGCCAAGGAGCGCTCACCTGAGAACCCGCGCTGCTCCGGTGGCTCCGCCCCTGGGTTCCGCCCCCTTCCCGCCCCGCCCCCCCCGCCCCGGGCCTCTCTGGCCGGGCCTCCGCCTCCTCTCGGTGTCCGCTCCGCTTCCTCATCCGGGGCTCGCGCCCGGGGCGGGGCGTCGCGTGCGGCCCCCAACTCCGGTTGCCCTCTGCTTTTCGCGGTGGCTGGCCAGGAGACGGCCAGCTCTAGAGAGGAAATACTTTACTGTCTAGAAGGTGTTCCTAAACAGATCAGCCTGAGATCTTCGTGTCCAATCTGGTGATTACCTCAACAAGGCAAACTCGTGAAGAGTCCCCGGATCTATAAAGGGAATGGTACGGACCCTCGTCCGGCCTCACTGGGCTGCTGAGAGGCGCAAGATAGAGTTTCAGGGAGAACGTTTATAAAATGCAAAGGGTGGAACACGTGCGACTCCTGGGAAGTAACCATTTTGGGGGACCTTTCAAATCCAAACCCCAAGTGATGTTTGTGCCTGTCTGGCTATGAAATAATTGCTACCATGGCTTTCACAGATATCCTTATGTAATCATCACTTTCCTATTAGGTGGCAGATACTATCGTGTTTCACACACGGAGAATCAGTCTGGAGACACGAAACTCCTCGTAAGGCAGCAAGGATGGATCCTTACTCAGCTCCGAAGGCTAAACTTTTAACCACCATTTTCATCTCATACCCAAGGGCTCAGCCTAAGACCCTATTGGTCGGAACATTTTTCTTTCCTTGAGAAAATCAGAGCAGTGCGGGCTGTGCCTGAAGTTGGCTAAAGGCTTCTGACAAGTAGCCAGCACCAATTGATTGACCTATGGGTTTTGGAAAAATTCTGAATGTTGAAAGAAAAATGCCATTGCATACTACAAGGATACTGGGGAGTGGCAAGACAAGTGAGAGTTTTAAGCATCCACGCTTTTACTTTAGGATTCACAAGTTAAATATTAAATCATTGTAATTTTTTGTACTTCAGGGAAACAATCAAATGGACTGCAACAGTTGCAAAATTTTTCGGGGGCAAAATGTTACATGTAAAAGACTTTATGTTGCCAAATCAGGGACACACCCAGATCCCCCAGGCTCTTTTCCGTTCTTAACAGCAGTGGCTGATGGGAAGTCCTTCCATCCCAGAAGTAGCTAATGGGGTTCTCCCTGCGCCTCAGGAAAATTTGATTTCTTCTTCTCGGAGATGTCCATAATTGATAGCATATCTTAGAAATGTAAATACCCCACTTTTTAACATGGCAAAAACTTGTGAAACACCTCGAACAAGTTTTGAGATTTTTAAAACTTATCTAAAGCTGGTCTATGAAGGGGAGGCTGGAACTCCCAAAAACTCAGTGAACAAGATAAATATTCATTTAATGCAACCTTTTCAAATCAAAATTAATACAAAAATGTACGATGTACAGAATAATCACATTTTAAAATAAAGCCAAGATCATTAACGGTGCTGCTGTGCAGTCATATTAGAACCGGAGGCAGAAAGGCAGACCAGAACTACTGGGTTTCTCAAATCACCTCCAATGGACAAATAGTTGCTTGAGGAAATACATAAGGAAGCAGACTCTGTAAACAGAAATGTCTTAAAATGAATTTCTAAGTTAATTTATTTCAATATCTGTACGTCTATACAGACGGTATATGGATTCACAGGCTGTAGACAATAGGGTTGGCATTTGGGTTTGTATATCTTCAGCCCTAACTAAAGCTGGGAAAAGCATTATCTCCGCTTAAATGTCGGCGGGATCAGAGATACCTTGATTAGAAAAGGGAGAATTAAAGTCTCTCCCAAACCTTTCTTCAAATGTCTGTTGTGCGTCTATTTTTGCAGGACACCGCTAGGTGCTCAGCAAAGAATGATGAACAAAACACACGAGGGGGTAAAGGGACAGACCATAAATAAAGAGATTAAACTCGGCAACTTCAGCCGGTGTAACAGCTAGGAGTAAATTAAAACGAGACGCCTTGACTTAAAGGACTGGAGGCAGAAGTGCTATTTGGATTTAGTGGTCAATGTGACAAGAACGAGGAGGGGGGACGACACTTAAAACACTGATTCCAGTTATAAAGATCTCTTGGGCTGCTGTAGTGAAAGGCGGGAGGCCCCGAGAGATGCAGCGTCCAGGCCACATTAATGATGGAGTGGACCAGGGTGTTGGCAATAGAAAGAATGGGCCCTGGGGGCTCCGCAGGAGCAGGGTAAAAAGGTGTGTTCCGCTTTAAGAGCACAGGCCGCAGGGTCGGGACTGAATAACGACCGGAGCTAGAGGAGGGCGGGCGGCCGGTCCCTGGAAGAGCCGCCCATAGGCGTGCGCGCGCACCGTGCGGGGGCGGAACTTGGGCGAGTCCGCATGGCTGTCTCGGGCCCCGGATAAGGAAGTGCGGGGAGGAGGGGTGGGGACCATAGAGACGAAGAGGTGGCGGCGGCCGGAGCGCCCCTGGGCTCTCTTGGCTCGGTAGGCTCAGGTAGACTTCGCGGCGGCTGGGCTGCGGCTGCAGAAACCGGGCTGGCGGGGCGAGCGCGGGCCGCGGAGCAGGCCTCAGGGTAAGAGGCCGGGGGCGGGAAGGCGTCGGGCGCAGCCGCCCCGCCCCACTGCACCCTAAGAGGACCGTCCGCCGGGAGATGCAGGTTGAGGGGGAGCCCGGTCCCCCCGCCCTCTCGGGGTGCCGAAGGGAGCCGAGGCTATGCTGCGGGCGGCGGAACGACCCGGGGAGAGGGAGGAAACCAGGCCCCGCGTCGCGAGGGGGAAACTGCTTCACCAAGTCATGGCTCCGACGGGGGCGAGACACTCCTCTTCAACCTCGATACGGCAGGAGACCCCCAACTTCCTTCGTGGAGAGCGACGCCCCTTGTCGTGGACGTACGCTCTTCCTCCGCTTCAGTGCGTTTATCAGCAGAGCAAGACCCGCTCCCGGCGTGCGAGAGGGCGATTTTGAACTTATTTTAAGGAGGGTATAAAAGATAACCCCAAGCAAGACCTTCCCCCACCCCCGCCCCGCCCCGATTTGGTCAGCGCCAGCCCTCCAAGTGAAGAGCGAGACTCAACTTGCCTAAAAGTGACAGAGGGGATCTCCCTTCCCTGTGAAAGACAGAGTTACTTTTTCTCCTTTATTTTTACGTTTACTCTGAGATAGCGGGAGGAAGACCCTGGATTTGCTTGATGGTGTTAGAAGTCAGCTTTCCTCCCCTCCCCCAATCATGTACACGGAGTACGCTTAGCTTCTCTTCCCCCACGTCTCCTGGTGTGCAGGGAGCTCCTTTCCTTTGCACGATTGGCGTTTGCAGCGTGATAGTTGTAAGCCGGTGCCTCCCACTTCCCATCTTTGAGACCCTAACTAATTGCCTAACCTTTCTTACTCAGCCCATCCCTAATTTGGGTGCTCTTTTCATAGAATTGTCATAAGGGCTAAAGGAGAATGTGTGTAAGTGCTTCGTACATACTAATAACCTTTTGGTCAATTGTTGCTGTTACCCTTAATTTGTTTTTTAAAAAGAAACTAGTATCTTCTACAGAGAAACAGATTTTTCCGTGCATGACTCTTCTCACCACCCCCACCCCCATCCCCCCATCGCAAGTATTAAGCCCAACCTTTCTCATGAGAAAGGAGGCTTTACCCCGGGGGTGGAGAAAGAGGCACTTCTAATCCTCTTAGATCCTACCGTACTCCCCCAATTAACAAAGAGGGCCTCAATTAGAATAATCAGGAAAAAAGACTTTGTTTTTGGAAACAAGTCTGTACTACAAGAGGTAGGGAAGCCAGCCTTTTCTTTGTTCAAGGAAGCTATCACTTCCTCACTGTTTAGAGATGTCTTCTCCCTCTCCCTCTACTTGCTCTAGTGACAAAAAAGCTTCCTTCTATCCATTTACCCCCCTCCTTCAAAGAGGAAGATTCCAACTTGTTTCTCTTGCTTTCCCAAGAAAAATAAATACCTTTGAGAGAAGGACTCTTTTCTGCTGTATATTTAGAGCGGCCCAGATGGTTCTTTTCTCTTCCTTTGAAAAAGAAATTACAATCTTTTATGCAGAGTCTGTCAGTAGAAATCAGGAGCATTTTCACTCCTTCATTCCGTATGTGGAGACAGGGATCCTTTTTCTGCATTCTAATAAAGGGAGGAAAAGGAAAACAGTGTTTGATGCTTTTGAGATTTCCTGCACACTCCATGTTGAAGAGCTGGGCCCTGTTTAGTAAGTATATGGGCTTCCCTGCCCCACTTGCTGTTTGTCTAGAGATCCTGTTAAAAAGATTCTTCTTTCTCTGTCCCTCAAGAGGAGGCCCCTTCCTCTGAATTCCCTCATGGAATGATTGGCTCTAGTGTGGATCTTTGGAAAAGAAAGCCCCTTTCTCAAGGTGAAAGGAGTGTTGTGAAATTCTGAGGGCCTGACCATTATTGTGAGTATTGTCAGCGCCCAGTGTTATTAACTGTTCTTCTTTTTGTTAAGAGCAACCCCTTTGCACTGGAATTAAAGGGAGGGGAGACCTTCAGACTCAGGATTATTGGGGCACATGGTTTTCTGTTCTGTTTTCTTTGTTTGCTTTTTCCCCCAATTTTTTTTCTTAATGCTACAAACTTTGTACCCCCCCCCCATATTTGTTTTGAGGAATGTTTGAACAACTAAAGTAAAAATTGCCACTTTGTCAGGTTTTTAGTGTTATGAAATGTATTTTAATGAGACTGAGAGATACAATGTTATCTTCCACTGATTGTCTTTCCCCCCCTGGCTTTTGTTATTTGGTGGGATAGGAATTAACACTGCCAGTTTGCCAGGAGACAAGTTAAAAGCTTTCTATCTTTTTAGTATGTAAAGTGTTCCTAAATTACCTCTGTTTGCCCTTGAGTACTTTCAATGGAGATTAGTCTGAGCTCTGTACCACCATTGTTGGTGTCTATAGGTGTGCTTTGCTGAAACAGTGAAATAGAAGTTTTTCTTAGAGTCATGGGATTTTTATGGATAACAGGACCTTTGAGATTATTCTGTTTACTTTGTTAATTTTACATGTGAAAAACTAGCCTAAGAAAGTTAAGTGACACGCCCAGGCCATGCAGCTAAGTCGTGGCCGGATAGGGACCCTGGTCTCCCCCAACAGGGAAACCTGCATCTGGGCAGCTCCCAGCACGGGTTCTGCATTTGAAACACAAAGATCTGGAGATGATTGTCCCCATTTCAAAAGAATTTCTTCTTTTATTGGAAGAATTGCACTGCATGCTCTCTATAAGTATCAGACATTTTTTTCCTTTAGGGAAAAATCCATTCTGTGAACAATCTAAATCTTATTTGCGTTATTGTAAAGATGACAAGCCAATAGCAGCTGGCAAGAGTTGCTTGTGAATATCTGGGTTACTTTTTGCCTATATCTCAAACTAGATAATTATCTGGTGCCCTCACCCAATAGGTTGGTTATAAGTCATTAGGATTAAACCCTAAATCCCTGTTTACATTTTATAAGCATGTGTTACTCTTTCCTCTTACTTGAAGTTATTTAACATTTAATGTAAAAACTTATAGTTGAAGCAGAGAGCTGACATTTGGGAAGATACTGATAAAGGGATAATATGGTTACAATTATTCTTTATTGCAACATATTTGGATCTTGGGAAATAATGTTTAAAAAACAATTTAATATGTAATACATACTAATTGTAAAAAAAACCAAAAAGTACAACATACAGATAAGTCATTCATGATTTCATGATTCCATCAGCCATCACTGTTTTCCATCACCCATCACTCCATCACTGTTGGGTTATATTCTTTCAAACATTTTTCTGTACATTCTTTCAGACATTTTTCTATATCCATATATATTTTACCAAAAAGAGTCCTGATGTTTAAGTAGTTTTATAAAATATCCCAGCTTTCTACATAGAGATATATTTCTAAATTTTTTAATTGCTCTTTTGTATTCAGAGATTTCGTTTTAACGAATTTGCATGGTAAAATTTTGAGTTTTCTGCAGCCTTGTGGCATTACCAGTACCTTGATAGGTGGCAAAAAATTGGAAGAAGAATTCAGTGATGCAAGCTAGTGAGCTGAGAATAATTTTAAACTGTTACTCTAAGCTTGCATCTAAATATTATTCCATCTCTGAGGGTTCCAGCCAAGGCACTCAGCTGTTCTTGGTGGCTCAACTGCAGACTCTGCTGAGAAACTTGACGGCCCAGAATTGGGCTAGGAGAGTAACGAGGGAGTATCTGTTTTGCTTTGACATCCAATTTGTCTAGTTGTTTTACAGGTTGAAATTCTTGGAATTAATGTCTCTACAAAACAAGAGCATTAAGAGATGTGATAGCTTTGTGGGTTTTGGCTTTTATAAATTGGAAGTTATCTTTCAGTGATGAAAGCATTTAAAATTCTTTTGGCCAATGAGAGTTTACATTGTCTGTGGAGGCATAGGAAAGGTAAAGGTACTATTTTCCCTGAGGAATATTTTTAGCCATTTTATGTGATTATGCATATTGCCTCTTTGTGATAAAGGTGTTTAGCAACTGTGTATTTTTGCATGAGTTTGTGTTCAGAAAAAAATGTCAAATTAGAACCATGAGAATGGAAAGGAGTGGGATTTGTTAGAGAAACTGCTAGACCAGAGTCTGTGGGCTATCAAGTGCTAATTGAAAGGCAAGTGGAAGATCAGACATAGTTATGTTTAGGGATTGAAGTCTGAGCTCTAGAATAATGGGGATGTCATTACTAAGAGAGGCAACAGGGTCAAAAATAAGTATGTAAGTTTACTGAGGGCATTTTATTCATTCCTGCTCCTCATAAATGTTTGCATGTGGTAAGGCTTAATTATTCAATGGATTGAATGGACTCTTTTTAGACATGTTAGGTTTGGGGGGGTTCCGTCCTTATGTGAGTAAAACTGGTCAGGAACTTTAAAAAAAGAAACAGGTTTCTCTTGTTTTTCATCAGCTTTATTAAGATACAGTTTCTATAGCATATGATTCAAGAACTTACATGATTTGGTGGCTTTTAGCATAGTTACATGCAGCTATCACTACAATCAATTTTATTTTATTTATTTTTTTAAAGATTTTATTTATTTTTAGAGAGAGGGGAGGGAGGGAGAAAGAGGAGAGAAACATCAATGTGTGGCTGCATCTTGTGCACCCCCAACTAGGGACCTGGCCTGCAACGCGGGCATGTGTCCTGCCTGGGAATTGAACCAGTGACTCTTTGGTTCACAGGCTGGTGCTCAATCCACTGAGCCACACCCGCCAGGGCCCAATTTTATTTTAAAAAAATTTATTTATTGAGCCCTGGCGGGTGTGGCTCAGTGGACTGAGTTCTGGCCTGCAAACCAAAGGGTCACCGGTTCGATTCCCAGTGTGGAGCATATGCCCACATTGCAGGCTAGGTCCCTGGTAGGGGGCGTGCGAGATGGAACTACAGATGGATGTTTCTCTCCCTCTCTTTCTCTCTCCCTTCCCCTCTCTAAAAAAAGAAGAAAAAAGAAAAAGAAAAAATTATTTATTTATTTTTATTTTTTAGAGAGAGGGGAAGGAGGAAGAAAGAGGAGAGAAACATCAGTGGTTGCCTCTTCCACACCCCTATCCAGGGGCCTGGCCCACAACCCAGGCCTGTGCCCTGACCCGGAATCAAATCAGTGATCTGACAAGCCACTGAGCAACGCCCGTCAGGGCACTACAGTCAATTTTAGGGCACCATTATTGATCCCCAAAGAAATTCTCTCCATTAGTAGCCACTTTCTATGTCTCCACCTCTCCCAGCACTATGCAGCCACCAGTCCACTTTCTGAGTCTAGATTTACCCACTCTGGACATTTCATATGAATGGGATCTCGTGATATGTGGTCTTTTATGATTGTCTTCTTCTCCCCCCCCCATAATGTTTTCAGGGTTCATCCACGTGGTATCATAAATCAGTACTTCATTTCTTTTTATAGTTGAGTAATATCCATTGTATGGATAGACCACATTTTATCAGTTCATCCAGTTGATGGACATTTGAGTTTTTTCCACTTTTTGGCTTGTATGAATAGTGCTACTGTGAACATTCGTGAAAGTTTTTGTGTGGCTATACATTTTGGGGTACATAACTAGGGGTGGTCATGTTGAGTCGTGTGGTTACCCTGTGCCTAGAGGGGTAGTTTTGAGTCATCCTCATAGCAGAGAAGATGTAAGAAAAGGTGAAGTCATTAAAAAAGTAAAGCCTGAAAAGAGTGGTGTAACGAGGATTAAATTTTTGAAAATACCACACCTCGGTGGCACACAGGGAGAAAAGCTCTTGAGCATAAGAAGGTGACAGACCCCCAGAGCTGATTGCCATCAACACACCTGCTCTTTCACAAAATCCCTTATTGCAGTGATCTTCTGGTCTTTGTACAGGGTGGGACAAAAGTAGGTTTATATTTGCGAGTATGTAAACAATTTATTCTTATTATTTATTAATGTATTATTTTCCATATGAACAAATGCAGATCTACTTTTTGCCTCACCCTGTATGTTGTGACAACAAAAAACTATTTTGTTGCTGGGAAGTGGAAACTGAACCAAATTAAAATTGAGGACTTCCTTCCGTTTGGGGGGGTGGGGCATCAAATATCAATTCCACTGTATCTCTGTTAACCCCCATATACACATGCATACACATAAAATGGCCTAAAACCAGAGTGCCCCCAGAAATATCCAGGAGCTAGAGGAAAAATGGGAAGGTTGTAGCTCCAAAAAGCATGCATTTCTCTAAGTACTATATGAATCTCACTTGATTCTCCCCATACTCTTTGCTTCTTTTTTTAGATTCAAGCTTCTTTTTCTTCTTTTTTTTCTTTTCTTTTCTTTTTTTTTTTTTTTTTTTTTTTTTGGTTTAAGATTTTATTTATTTATTTTTAGAGAGAGGGCAGGAGAGGGAGAGAAACATCAGTGTGAGAGAGAAACACTATTCGATTGCCTCCAACCGGGCACTTAGTCTGCAACTCAGTCATGTGCCCTGACTGGGAATCAAACCAGTGACCTTTCAGTTCACAGGCCACCACCCAGCCCACTGAGCCACACCAGCCAGAGAAGATTAAAGTTTCTTTATCAGCCCTCCTATGTTACCTAAACTTTATGGACCAGCAGCCTGATTTCCTATAATTTCTAGTGTTTAAGTAAGTGGTGTAGCATTACATCCTTTTACATCTGAGTAGGGTTCCTTAAAAGCACTAAGGGCACCCAGTGGATGAAATCATAGGAACATGAATAAACAAAACATTGACCACAGTTTAGGAAACAAGAGAAAGGCAGGGTGGTCCAGAATGAGAGGACCTGTCATCTGCCCTTCCTCAGCTCCCAGCTTCAGTCCAAATAGCACAGGTGAAAGGATGGGATCTTCTGTCAACCCAGGAGTATTCAAAGAGTGGGTGCTGCTTCACTTGGAGACAGAGCGTGTGCCTTTGTGTAAGTGGCATCTGTGGGTTCTCCCAGATAATCAAGGTAGGAACAGACGGAGACCAAGGAAACCGAGTTGTAAGGATTTACATGGTGTGTTGGAAAGCCCCTCCTGTCCAGAAATCTGGTTGTGGTCAATCAAGAGAAGGTGAGACATTTCAGTAGCCCGCACTGGATTTTACTGGTATGTAATACATTTATTTGGGGGGAAAACTGGATGTTAGGAAGTTGTAGGAGTAGAAATCACCTGGCTTTCTGAAACATCCTCTCCTATGTGCATTGTAGCCAAAGGGATTTACCGTCAATACCTCCAATAAAACCTTGTTATAAACTCTGAATTGCTGAATATCTCTTACCTTTTCTCTCCTTGTTTAGGGTTAGAGAGAGTTTCACGATTCAAAGCATGCAGTATCATATTTGGTTAACCAATTTCCACCTTGATCAGGTTGAAATGGATTTTATAGAAACTGCACACCTTATTGATAGACTAAGATGGAAAAGTTACCGACCAGGAAACCCTGGTTGTGAGTGCACCATTTCCTCGCTCTGCGTGCGTGAGTGTGTATGCGTATGTGTCAACTACTTTAACATACAGTATTATGAACTACTTAGACACAAATATTATTTCAGCAAATAATCTGTGCTTCCATCACCCACTGCAAGAAGTTAAACATTCCTATTTCAAATGAAGTCCCCTAAGTATTATCCCCCTCCTTCCTCTCAGATAACTGTAATATTTTAGGCAGGTCGTTTTTAACCTTTCAGGTATGATTTTAAAGATTTCATTTATTTTTAGAGAGAGGGAAAGGGAGGGAGAAAGAGGGAGAGAATTATCTATGTACAAGAGATATGTTGATTGGTTTGTCTCTCACATGCCCGTAACTGGGGACCTGGCCAGCAACCCAGGTATGTCTCCTGACTGGGAATTGAACCGGTGACCTTTAGCTTCATAGGCCAGCACTCAGTCCACTGAGCCACAGCAGCCAGGGCTTCAGGTGTGATTTTGAAGTCTGTAATGGGAAGATGAGAGCTGCCCTACTTAGCTCACAGAATTATTGTGAGAATCAAATGAGTGGTGTCTCTGAAGGCACATAGAAAATCTCAAGATGCTGAATAAAAGTCAGGAAGATTCTGCTAAAGAGCTGGTTTTACAGTGTTTTGTGCCATAGGTATAACTCAAGTGTTTGGTGAGCAGTGAAAGAATGGAATTCCATTTTCTCTAGATTCTTCTTTGAGAAAGTATCTTAATGAAGAAAAGCCAGGGAATCAAATTCTTCAGAGTCCCTTAGTTTGTGTTCATTCAGCAAACATTTACTGAGTACCTGTGTGTCAAGTACCTGTTCCAGACAGTGGAGGTATAGCAGTGAACAAAACGAGCAACGTTCATTCCCTGAAAACAAGTAAAAAACTGCTTCGATCTTCTAATTTACTTCAGGCCTGTCCCTTGGATTCGTAGACATGTCTTATTCTCAAGGGTATTTGCTGGCTCTCCAGATTTAAATTGAGAATTGTTTATAAGGCATTATTTGAATTGAGATTAGGCAAATGTCTATTATAAGTTTTAAGGAATTTATTTTTCTACAAATTCAGTCTCTTATTGAATTTAATAAATGTCCTTGGTTAATAAAATTATGTAAGTTTCAGGGATACAACATTATAATACTTCATATGAATATTGTACTATTGTGTGTTCACCACCCCAAGCCCACAGATTCAGTCTATTAAGGACAATTTTTTTGGTGCCACGTAATGCCGGCATTTGAGGGAGAATTTATTGTCCTTATTTTCACCAGTTTGAGCTGAGACAGCTTTCTTCTACCCTGAAAAGTTTTAAACTTTTATCCCTTCCTTTGATTTGTGTCAGGGTGAACCGTTTGATGTAAGACTTGACTCCATAATCTACATCTGCCCTAATGCTGTCATCCGGAGTAGAGACTCAGCCAGTTCCACTTGATTCCTCCATGTCTGCTGTGGTACAGGAATTATACTCTGAACTCCCAGTAAGTGTCTCCAAAGAGCTTCATGTTGACCCTGAGCCAAGTTTGATTCCAGATGTAAAACCTGGAGCCTCAAGCTCTCTTATAAGTCAGAGTAGGGCAGTGCCCTTGGAGCTGCAGAGGACTCCTGCGGAAAATTGTGAAGAAATCTTTGAGACCTTGGATCATGGGGGAGAGCCTGGGCGGTGTGGGCTGGTGGACTCCACAGCAGGAGGTTCTGTGGCTTCTGGGATCTTGGATAGGGAAGAGAATACCAAGAGCATGGAGCTAAAGGTCTTCAGAGATCGAGGGGACCAGGTGGAAATTGTAAGAGATCCCTGTGAGGGAGCAAAGGAAGACCCATGTCAACATTCCACAGCCGCTGAAGAAAAGATCAGCTCAAGTCAGGTAAGAAATGAGATGTTGATTTAGATCAGTTGAGTATGAATGACAGTTTTCCAGAGCAACACTTCACATGATAAAATACAGATGCTGACAGGTAGCTTATGATTTATTCTTGAAACATTTCCAAAATGTTGATTTTGGTGTTAACTTTTTTTTTTTGATGATCTTTGAAAACATGTGCATCGCATTAGAAATTTGAAGAAGTGCTTATTTAATTAAAAAGTGTCACTTCTCTGAAATAGCTACTGTGTATGAAATGCTGACTCCCTTTGTGATAGTCATGTGGTATTTCTGCATCTGATTAGTGACAACATCATGGAGTAAGATGTCATAGAGACATGTTTGAGGGAGGCTGTTGATTCAGGTAGGGCTTCATAGGGTGAATACCCAGAAGGATTGTCATGTTTTTGAAGCAAGCCCTTAGCTTTGCAGGTCCAGAAACTTGACTGACTTTTTTGTATATCAGAAGTGATGGTCTTCAAAGGACTGATCGATGCTATACCACTCCATGAGAGACTAAGGTATCAATCAGAAAGCCAATTCTTTAATTAATACACAGTGAAAAGTGGAATCATTACTTTGTAGGAAAAAGGAAATCAAATCTCTCTTTGTGAGTTTGAACTTAGAGTAAGAGATGTTAGTTAGATGAGACTAACGGTTAGAGAGCTATGATGGGCCCCAATTCCTAAAAGAATATACCTGCCTAGTGAACTAGAAAACTTGCTTTCTCCCCTGGATGGTGCCTTAGACCAGGAGTTAACAAACTTTTTCTGTAAAGGGCCATATAGTAAATATCTATTTTAGGCTTTGCAGGACACATGGTATTGGCTAAAACTACTCAGCTATGCCATTGTAGAGTTGTAAAGTGAAAGCAAGCATAGACAGTATGTAAATGGATGAGTGTGGCTATATAAATAAAACTTTGTTTATAAGACAGGCACTGGCCTGCAGGCTGTAGTTTGCCAACCTTTGCTCTAAAACCACTAATAAATTTGTATGCTCTTGACTTCCTGGTCTAGGCTTCATTCCCCACCTGATAAATATATCATTTCTTTGCACAGGTTATAGGCCAGTTGATTGTTCTAGTAGGCTGCATATATTGACTGTAATTAGGAATGGATAAAGCATTAAATAATAGTATAATAATCAGATATCCTGTGATAATCTCTTAAAAACGTAGTTAAATGAGTAAGGTAACAAATTCAGGATATAAAGTTTTCTTCTTGATGTGGTGGGCTGGGTATAACAAGATGAAAGTTTCTTAATGTAATATTCAATATAAAATAAAATTATTATATATAATCTGTGAAATGTAATGAACACAATACAATATGGACTGAGAGGTGGTGGTTGTGCTCTGTTGTGTTCTGATTATCCTATAGCTAGAGTGTCATACTCACAGCCCCCTCCCTATCCCTACAGTGCTCAGGTGAGCTCAAGATGCTACCAGGGTTGAGTGGGTGTGGGGAGAGAGGAGAAGCAAGAAATGTGTTGGGGTTCCTGGCCAAAGAGGATCCTGTCCCCTTCTCCTCATGCTGAGGTTGGTGTCATGTGGGAGGAGTATAGGAAACTACGAATATATTCCTGGATGGAAATTCACGCTGGTGACACAACCTGAAAACATGGCAGTGGAGACTGAGTTGCTGGGCATGTCTTCTTGTGAAAGAGAATAATCAAGAGAAACCTTCACGAGTGTAGGGGCTGACAAGTAAAGGTGTTTTCTGGGCTCAGTGACAGACATGGTAGCGATAATTCCTAATCATTCTTAGGTCACAGGACCCTTTGGAAACCTGAATGAATGCTGCAGACCTTTCAGAAAATCAGAAATACCATTCCGGAAGGTTTGCAGAGCCCTGACCTCCTGGGACCTCAGGATAGTAACTCTCGCTAGTTTGGCAAAAACACAAACATAGTCAAAAGACACTGACAAACTGGGAGAACATAATTGCAACATATATCACAGATAAAGGGCTTACATTTCTAATATATAAAGAACTCCTTAATCAAGGAATGAAAAACCCAATAGAAAAATGGAAGAAACTTGAATAATTCATTCTGTGTGTGTGTTGTACTTCAACACATGAAGAGATGGTCAGCCCCACTCATAATTAGAGATGCAGATTTAAACAACATAGTGATACCACATTTAACCAATGAGAATGGTGAAAATGAAAAATTATGACAACATATCTGGTTGGCAAGGCTGTGAAGGAAAAAGGTATTCTCACACATTGCTGGTGGGAATGCGTGCGGATGAAACCTTTGAGAAGACAACTGCAGCGGCACCTGACAAAGTTACACATGCCCTGACCCCTTGACCTAGTACTCTCATTTCTAGCTGTCTGCCCTGAGGGTGCACCTTCAACAATATATAAATACATATACACAAGGTTAGTTTTTGAAGCATTATTGATTATTGAAAAATATTGGAAGCAACCTAAATGTCTACATATAGGAGAGAGGTTGAATAAACTACGGTATATAACATCCATACGTAACTAAATGTATCATGGGAGTCTAGATTGGACTCTGGTCCTGCAAAAGGACATTATGGAGCCATTAAGAAAATTTAAGCTCTATAGATTATTAATGTGTTATTAATTTATTGGTTATAATTATAGTTATGTAAGGTGTTAGCGTTAGGAAAAACTGAGTTAAGACCACAGAAAAATATTTGAACAATATCTGCAAATTTTGTGTACATATGAAGAATTCTAAATCAAATGTTTAAAAGTATTTAAAACTTTAAAAATATAATGCTAGCAGATGACAATTTAACGCACTATGAGAGGTACTTTTTAACAGCAAGGCAAATCTAGAACTGTATTAGGCTGTTCAGAAAAGTCTTGTTTATGAAGAGGCTGAGTGACCGTGTCAGGAGTATAGCAAAGGGGATTCTAGTTCAGACAAGCGACCTCAGGGGTGTTCTTTTCCATTCTGAGATGCTGTGGTTTTTCCAGTAGTGGATTGGCCTTTAGGAGCCTTCCCCAAAGTCCTTTTCCTTCAGCCATTTCTCATCTCAAACTAGCAAGAGGCTCACCCACGATTAGGCACTGGCTCAGGTTTGAGGGAAAGTACTCCAAGATTACTACCTGCCCACCGTCTCGTTCCCTCTGGACCAAAATCAGTCAAGGCAGAAAAGGTAGTGACTTTGGTGGAGCCCAGCTCCAATAATAACTTGTTGTAATTATGAGAGATGGGGACCAGGCTTTCCAGGCATGCGCTGCATGAATGGAATGAATTTAACAAAGTTAAGTCAGCTTGGTGAATTGCCCAGTTCATAGAAAAAAAGGGCACCATTATTTAGAACTGTTAAGTTTACACTCTCCTGTATCTTGGGCTCTGATGAAATTGAAACTGGTTTTTTAAAATAGTTCGTTCACTTATGTAATCGCTCAAAGTTGTAGGTTTTCCTGTTGTTAAAAACAACATAATACATGTTTTATGAAGCAACTTCGTTTTAAATGTGAGTCCTAACTTTTTTTTTTTTTGCTTTTTTTATTGTGGTAATATACACAACACAAAATACATCATTTCATTAATTTTTAAGTGTACAATGTAACTCTCACCAGCATCTATTTCCAGAACTCTTTTCATCTTTCCATACTGAAACTCTGTCCCATTAAATGATTGCTTTCCATGACCGCCTTCCCCCAGCCCCTGACAACCGCCATTCTCCTTTCTGTCTATGAATTTGACTGCTCCAGGTGCCTCATGTAAGTGGAACCATACAGTCTTTGTCCTTTTGAGACTGCACTTCACATTTTTTAAAAGATCCACTTACGAAGTCAGGTATTCTAATTACAAAATATTTCAATCATGAAAAGGTAAACCAGCAAAAAATAATTCTTTCCTGCCTTAAATATGTCAAAAAGATATAAAAACATGTAACTAATAATTTTGTGCTTTGATCAGGGACGCTTTTATTAGGGAGGGGAGAAGACAGAGGGGAAAGGAAAGGGAAGTGTCTGAGAACAGGCTGTGGAGGGACAGCTGCACGAATGATGAAAGGACGTATTCAGTTCTAAACTCCACGCTTGTAGAGAAGCAAGCTCAAAAACTGCATTGCATGCAAAAGTTACCAGCCAGAATGTGGAAAGATTGGCCTTATTCATGAATAAGATATAAGAAGGAAAAAAAAGATATAAAGAGATGGTATGTGACGTCCTAAACAGATAACTCTTTATGTTTTCCTTGGGTCTTCTTGTTGGTTTGTTTTTCTTGGTACTTAAATATAAGCTGTAGTGGGTTTAAATTTTTATATATTTTATTCTACGCGCCCCCCCCCCCCATAGTGGTAGCTGTGCCTGGCTTGAATATGTTGTTATAGTTTTGGATCCAGGATACAATACTTTAATCATGCAGTTCTCTTAGACAATTCATTATGGGAGAATGTTGTTAAATGTCTTACCCAGCTAGCATGATCCATGCCTTATATTAAGCCACCAGTTGTTTCTCTGAATTAGGATACATGGAGGAAAACCTCCTTTTTACTAAGCTTTGTAAAGATGACTCAAAGTTACCATTCTATAGCTGTCCCTGTCCAACCTTTTGGTGTCTCTGGACCACACCAGAAGAAGAAGAGCTGTCATGGGCCACACATTAAATATACAAACACTCCTGAAAACTGGTTTTAAGTAAATTTACGGTTTTGTGTTAGGCCACATTCATAGCCATCCTGGTCCCTATGTAGCCTGTGGGTCATGGGCTGGACACCCTTGCTTCTAAATATGCAAGTGTAGGAAAGCGAAGGATCCATCTAGAAATACAAAAGAGTCTTTATTTTCATTGTCCTTTGCTATGAGCGTAATATGGCTATCTCCACAAATGTCAGGAAATAGGAAGCATCTCGTTTGCTCCATATTGTGGACCCGTATTGCATAGTTCAGTTATAGGCAGTCCCACCTGAAATGGAGGGGTCGTCATTGCCCTTCAGCCTGCCTCTGCCTCTAGCTCAAGAAGCTCAAGTTTGGAGGAGCTCAGCAGGGTCTGGTTGTAAGCAGCGCTCACGTCTCAGAGATACATGAGGCCTTGAGGAGCTTGTGACTGCCCTGCTTATAAAAGCTGAATACCCTGGTATATATTCATTTTTCTACTTAAATATGTGTATGTTTTTCCTGCTCTAAACTTGTCTCATAGGAATGTATCAGAGAATTGCATTTTCCCCCCAAGACATACAGGCAATTTTTAATGGTTAATAAAATTACAGATAAACAGTAAGAATGGTTTTCAGGACCCTCCAAAAATCTGCCAAAACTTTGAAGAAGTATCAAAAGATGATTTTGATTCCAAAGCAGTGAGCTGGGGGATGATGTGTTGGAAGGGCAAGGCAAAGAATTTATTTGCTGTCAATTTGAAAAACAAATTGCACGATTGCATGGTATTTCTTATGTTCTCTTGTTGATCGAATGCTGTAAACTCTAGGAATTATGTCACTTGATTTTGGAAAGAGGGATTCATGGGAACTTTATCTTGGAATTCTATTTATTCAAGGCAGATTTTGCAGGAAATGTTAACATAATAATTAACAGATGTTGATACTTAACAAAATCTAGATGGTTGAGAAATGTTTAGGACTCTACCTCCTGAAAGTTAGAATATTTGGCTGATAAAATATTGTAGGAAAAGGAAATTGTGTCTGTAAATTCTGTGAGGCTGACCTGGAGGGGTGAGAGGAGTTGTACACAGGATTGTTAGGCTCTATGTCCGTTGCTTCGCAGTATCTCTCATGTGCACTCGAGGCCCCCACGTTGGTAGAGCTCCCACCTGATCGGGACATTCATCACCTCCGTGGTGATGGTGGTAGTAGTTAGGGCGTCCCTTGCATCTGACCTCAGCCTCACACTCTGTTTCCTTTTCAGCCCAGTCAATTCCTGATTATATTTGAAACCTCAAACCTTGTAGAGGAGTTCCTCGCAGAGGAGTTCCAGCCCTCTGAGGGGTACCTAGATTTTCTTAACTCAGAACCTTGTTTAAGAGAAGTCATCAAGGCAAGAGGAGAGTAGAATCACTCCCTCCTAGGTCCTTCCCTGTTAGGAATCATGGCTAACCAAGGAGAAGAGGAAGTGGCTTTAGCCATCAGCATGGCACTCCGGAGTACTTTGGGGCCTCCAGCGAAGGACATCTACTTAGAGCAGCAGGTGGGGCAGGACTGAGATCCCAGCAGCCCCTCCAGGGACCACAGCCAGTGCAGGTAATTGCACAAGCTCACCAGGGTCCTTCGGAAACTGAAGGAACCTGTATGTTGCTAGCACAGCTTAGCTCTCACTTTACAGAGGCCCTTGAAGACCCAGAAAAGTTGAGAGCAGTCACTGTACATGACATACCAGAATCTATTATTAGTCCCATTGACTTTTTTCACAGAAAAGGATAACAATTGTCTAAGGAAGGTCTAATGAATAGTAGGAACTTCTGCTCATGGGACATGCAGTCCTGACATCTTGCTAGGTGCTTATGCAGTTGCCATTTTATTCTTACAACCACCTGTAAGCTTGCTCTCAGCGCTGAGGAGTAGTAGGTGGGAATCCTGAGGTTAGAGGAGAGCACTGTCTGACTCATCTCGTAATCTTTTATACTGGCACTCTGCCTTTGCCATAAAGTATTAACCTGAAAAAATATTCTACATAGCATCTAATTACACACCTCAAACATTCAGCCTGAGAACTGGAAAAGTGGAGAGTAGTATCATTTTGGGAAAAGGGTTACATATAACTACAAATAAAGATGTCTTCTTAACCTCTTATTTGAGACTTACAAAAAATTTGCAAAAATGCTACCAAGAATGCCTATATACCCGTCATGTAGATTCCTCACATTAATGTTTTATCATGTTTGCTTTTTTTTTCCTGAATAATTTAAGAATATTGTTGCAGACATGATGCCTAAATATTTCAGTGTGTATTTCCTAGCAAGCAGGGACATTCTGTTACATGACCACAGTCAAAATCAATAAATGAACACTGATCTAAATGCTTTAATCTACAGGCTATATTCAAATTTGGCCAATAGTCACACTGATGTTTTCTGTAGCAAAAGAAAGAAAATAGTTTTTTTGATCTAGGAAAAATCCAGCATCACTTGTGGCATTCAGTTGTCGATGTGTTTAGTCTCCTTTCATCTGTCACAGTTCCTCAGCCCATGCTTGGCACTTAGGAAGAGTACGGGCCGTTAAATTTGTAGAAATTCTCTTAATTTGGATTTGTCTAATGTCCACTCATGATTCGATTATGCATTTTATGTCTCATTTGTTATGCATTTGGGGGACAGGAATCCACAGAAATGAAGCTGGTGTTCAGTGCATCCTCTTAGGAGGCACATGGCACTGCGCTACCTCATTCCTTGGGGAGGTAAACTTCTGTCACCTGGTTCAGGTGGGATTGCTAGGTTTCTCCACTATGAAGTTACTATTTTCCCCTTTGTAATTATTAACTATCTTGTGGGGAAGTGCTTTGAGACTATATAAATATTTCTGCTTCTCAAACTTTAACCACTAGTTTGAACATCTATTGATGATATTTGAGAGAATTCTTACTGTGATTTTTGCCAAGTGGTGGTTTTCTAATTCTGTCTTCTATGGTGAATAAGAGCTCCCTTTCTCCCCATTTACAAGGAAATTCAGTCTGGCATCATGCTAGAATTCATACTTTTTTGCAAGCATGGTAGTGTTACATGTAAGTTATCTGGAAAAATACTTATTTTTAAGTTCATGCTCTGCAGAAGTACTCCACACTAAAGTTTCATGAGAAAATGAAAGAATAATCTTGCTTTTTATAAGATAGTCCATGCTAGTCCTCATCTCTTAGTTTCAGTAATAATGTTTTTTATCTTTGCCTGTGCCCACCTATACTTGCCATTGCTTTTGTGTTCTCCCCTTTGTGGCTTTTCTTTCTACCACAGAACTTTGCTTAAAGCCCAAATGGCTTTTGCTTGTTTTTCTCTTCCTTTTTTTTTGTTTTTGTTTTTGTTTTCGGTGGAATGTTTTGAATGTTAGAAGAATTATTGCAAGTTGTAACAATGATTATATGTAGATTTAGATTAATGCTGTGTGAGAATCTTGTGCTTACTGATTAAATCACTGTGAAAAGAAAATTTCTTTAAATTTTAGGACGGGGTGGGGGGGCGGGAAATGACCCGGAAGTTTAGTGTTAGCAGCCATCTTTGGTCTATCAGCGTCTCCCAGCTGGTCGTCCTGATAGAGCCCTAACCTTGTGGGGCTCCAAGCCACTTGCTGCCATGCTATGCACATTCTGAGTTGCCCCTTCCCAATTTTCTGAATTCCTTCCGTAGGAGGAAACTGGTTGTTACTGATGGTGTTTTCCTTTATCCCTTGATCCTATGAAAGGGGATGAAAAGAAAGAAAGAAAGAAAAACTTCTAAGAAGTTTGGGAAGAAACTGCAGAAGAAAATTGAGAATGTATCTAGAATTGCTAAGGACTGAAATACATTGAATACCCTGATACTCTCTTTTGAAATGAAATTAAAATTGCATTGCAGCTATTTGTTTCTTGATTCAGAAAGTATTTATAGGGTTTTGTATGGATCCGCAGGTCAACACTTTAATCCTTTGTTCTCCTGATCTTGGGAAACTTGGCTTTTCAAGCTCAAATTCTGGAGAGGTGGAAGTTTTTATTTATTATATCTATTTAAATTTGAGGTTTCCTTCAGCGCCCAATCTTTGTGACTTCTGGTAAGTTTCTGGAGTCATAAAGAAGTCTCTCGGAGGATAATTTGCATTCATGAGCTCAAATATCTCTGAACCCTCCCTGACCGCTGACTTCTTACTGCAGGAGGACCTCCTGATGCCGCTGCCCAAAGAACTGTTATGCACAGACTTGCCTGGAGATTGTCTGAGGAGCAAAGGTATTTATTTCTCTCAAATCTTTTCCTTTTCCTTTTCCACTCACACACTGTTTTAGTGCAGTTTCCATTTTGCATTGGGAATGTAAGGATTATAGGCCCTTGCAAGATGGACTTGACTATAGAAATTCTTGATACTGCCCATACATGTACATGAAGACCCCTAGTATTAAAGAACAGTGCCTTGGTTTTGACAATAGTTTGCTTCCCACTTTTTCTGTAATGATACTCTACTGACAATGTGTTGAACCTTAATTGCTGATGTGTACTCTTTTATTTGAATTTATAGAATGAAACTGCCTGTTCGGAAGGGTTAATGTGGATAGGGGAGGAATCCACTCTGTACACATTCAGCACTGTGGCAGTGTATCTGCTCCTGTCCCCTAGACAGGGATGGGAGAAAGTGTTCACTCCAGGCGGCCTTGAGAATTTTCAAAGGCATTTCCTTTCCATGAACTCATTTTGCTCCTCAAAACAGTGGTTGGATATAGGTATCTGAGATATACCTCTAGTTAGTTAGTTATATTGATTGAGGGGGGAGCTGAGGCCCAAAAGAGAATGCAGAACCAGGATTCTTCTTCCCCTGTCCCAAGCTGAAAATAATTTAAGTAACTTTAGAGAGGACTGCATGTATATATCATATAATTAAGGTTAATAGTATAGAATAATCAGAACTGCAACAACAACAAAAACAACAACATAGGAAATAAGTTTAATTATATGACCTTGTTGTATTATCAGATTTGACTCTCTTCTTGGCTGCCTGGACAGAAAAGGAAGTACAAATCAACCTTATGAGAAAGGACACTTGTCCCAGTTTATCACCCAGCTTCCTGCTGCTGGATGTTTTCTGTGGGCTCAAAGGCTTGGCTGTCCAGTATAGATTAAAGCTCTGACGATGAGAAATGTTGCTCTGTGCATAAGTCTCACCCGGTTCTCGTGGCCTTACAAGGGATGCATTTAGTGCCACCACCCCTTCCTCCCCACGAGATCTTTTTAGCGGGGCTCCAGTATCACTACATTGAATCTTTGGTGTGTTGGTATATTTTCACCCACATGTTAAGCACAAAGTTACTATGTGTTGAATTACACTTTCATTTAACAACTAAACTGGCCTTTTAAACAGGAAAACCAGAATTATTTTCCATGAGGAAATCTGTCTTCTCAGACTTAACCCAATTATTCTCCCCTGGAGACTTGGTCCGCACTGAGCCATTGATAAGATGGGCTCTTCTGAAAAGTGTCCTCAGATAAATACGTTGCGGCACTTTTCTTCCTGTCCTAATACCATTCCTCTTTAATGACTTAAATTGGTAAAGTGAATTATTTTTCTCCCCCAAAGCTATATGCAAGGCTCTATGTTTGAGATGGGGGTTTTACTTGAGATTTTGGCAGTCAGATACTAGTATCAGTCAAATACTAGGTCTTGGTCTTCCATTCAGTTCCCCAAGAACCTTCCAAAGTGTCCCTGTGTTACATATGGGGAAATATTAGCTCTCCAGAGTCCTAGCCAGTCCTAGCCAGGCAAAAAGGAAGGTTCTACAAAGGTAGGTTTGTGAAAGAATTGAGCCCTTGGGAGCACAAAAGCAGGACCTGAGCCCGCCGTGGGTCAGAATTCAACAGACGCACATGCTGTGCTGTGCTGGTAGTGTGGCCAGCATTTCAGCTTGCTTTGCTAAGGTCAAGATCAAGCATCTACCAACTTATCATTTATTAATGAATTGAGAAGTAAATGATGTTTCTTAGAAAGCTAGTTGTATACTCTCTCTAGGGACCCCAGTTGCCAGAATTTTCACTCTGCGCCCAGGATCATAGCTGCTAATCCTGAGCATATTACAGTGTATAAATGTGCTGGGGAATGAATTTGGATCTCCTGCACTGCGTTGCTTAGTAAGTGAACCTAGGCCACTACACTTGCCCCTTGGTGCATTGTTTTTCCTTCTCTATAAATAATATCCCCTTTAAGCACTCCCAAGTTAGCATGGTATTACAGGATTTTGAGGTCCTTTACAGCCTTGTCTGCTGTGGCTCATTTAGGTGAAAGAACAAACTTAATCCTTTAATAGGGCTTTAGTGTTAACCAAAAGGACTCTTTAATTGGTAGGATGCTATTTTGCATTTCATTTCTTATTTCTTGATTGCTATAAAACAGACCTAAGAAAAGTGGGCATGAGGGAGCGGTGGCAGGTATTAGTTGAAGGGCCATTTCACAAAGCAAGAGGGTCCTCCAGTCAGGCGCTCTGACTGGTGCCTCTCCCTTTCTGCTATTATGAGTTGTTTTTGTTTGTTTGTTTGTTGTTGGTTTTTTTTTAATTCTGAGTTTTACAGTGGCTGTTTCACCACAATTTTCTGTTTAATATTTTACAAAACTGGCATTATCAAGTTTTGTTTCATTTTCAGAAAGTTTCTTATAACTGGGCTTCTTTGGCAAGGTTGTGTATAGAAAAAAGATGAAGTGGGCACCAGGAATAAAACCAGTATTAGTTCCTACTAATTACTGTGGGACTTAGTTCCTACAGTACCAATCTCCTTAAGGCTTATTTGGGAATTCTGAAATAGGAATAGCATTATGGGAATACAGTTGGGAGCAGAGGTGAAAGCAGTCAAGGAGAGACCTTATATATAATTCTGGGGACTAGAGAGTTTAAATTTTTTAAGGAATTAAAGTTAAAACAATCTTTAAAAAAATTTTTTAGTGATTGATTTTTTTTTTTAGAGGGAGAGAGAAACGCTTATTTGTTGTTCTACTTATTTATGCATTCATTGATCACTTCTTGTATACACCCATACTGGGGATCAAACCCACAGCCTTCACATATTGGGATGATGCGCCAACCAACTGAGCTACCCAGCCAGGGTGAAACAATCTTTTAAAGGCCTCTATTTCTGTTAGGTGAATAAATTAAGCATCATAACAGATGAAAGGAACCTGTCAATAAAGCCCTTATACCTTATTTACATCTAGATTCTTGTAGTTTATTAATTTGTTTATATATATGTACTTTGGAATGACTCTTTCCAGTTCTGTATTCACTGTTTATGTCATTACCTTCCTATAATTTATACTTTGGCAGATGAAAAGTTGAAAAATTTAGCACTACCCCATTTGTAGACAACATGGAGGAAGTTTAGGCATTTGGTGAACGGATTTGTTTTTTCCTTTCTTTTTTTTAAATTAAAATATAACTTACCTACAATAAAATTTACCCTTTTTTGTGCGCCTACAGTTCTGTGAGTTTTCAAACATATAATTGCGTAACTACCACCACAATCAAGATATAGAATATTTCCATCACCCCAGCACTGAACATCACAGGCTCCTGTTATAGGTAGTCCTTCTTGCCAACTCCAGCCCTTGTAGAAACCAGTGGTCTGTTTTCTGTCCGTATTCGTTTTCCAGAATGTTCTATAAATGTAATAATACAGTAGAAGCCTTTGAGTCTGGTCATTTGGTGTAGCGCATTTAAGATTTATCCATCTTGCCACGTGTATCAGTAGTTTATTGCTTATTATTGCTGAAGAGGATCCTAATGTCTGGTTGTTTCATAGCTGTTTATTTCCCATTTGAGGGAAATGTGAGCTGTTTAGTTTTTATGAACAATTGAATTATGGCAATTATGAATAAAGCTTCTCTAGAGTTCCAGTTAAGGAGTTGGATCCTTTCATTGTGATTTGGAAAGCCAGATGTTCAGTGCTCAGAAGAAGCTTAGATGATGCAAGCTTGTGGCATTGTCCGCACTATCTTCCTACCTCTAGTCAGCCTTTGTGAACCTCCACAGGAGAGCTTCCTTTTACAAGAGATTACAGTATTTCTAATTCATTACATATCTTTTTGAGGATGAGATGTAAGAGAAACCAAAATCAATGTCATATTTAGTTTCCATGGTCTAGTCACATGATTTTTTGATCCAGGGAAAGGTTTCGACAGAAATGCAATTGAATCCTTGTCAAACACTAACATGTCTTCCAAATTATGGTTATATGAATATAACACCCCCCCAAAAAAGTCTTAAGTTTTCTGATGTTACTTATATTGTAATTTGAGTGTAAGCACTTTTTTAAAAACAAGTTTTTGGGATAAATTTCTATACCATAAGTTAATCCATTTAAAGTATGCAATTCAATGTGTTTGTTTTGGGTTTTTTGCTATACTTAAAGAGTTGCACAAATCATCACATTAATTTAATCACTCTCTAAGGAAACCTTGTACCTATTAACAGTCATTCTCCATTCCTCCTTACACCTGGCATCTTCCAACCACTTTTCTACCTTTGTTTCTATAGATTTGCCTATTTTTGACATTTTATATCAATGAAATCATAGAATACATGGTCTTTTGTGACTGACTTCTTTGTCTTGGCATAAAAATTTTAAGGTTCATCCATGTGGCAGATATAAGTGCTTCATTCTTTTAATGGCTGGATAATATTCAGTCTTATCCATTTATCAGTTGATGGGCATTTGGGTTCTTTGCAGGTTTTGGCTATTATGAATAACACTGTTGTCAGCCTTTGTGTACAGGTTTTGTATTGACATAAGTTTTCAGTTTCCTTGAGAATGAAATTGCTGGGTTAAAAGGTAAGTCTATGTTTAGCAGGTTTCTCCACTGTAAATTTACTCTTCTCACCTTTCCATACTGTACTCCTTGGAAGGAGGTCACTATATACAACCTACTCTTAAGGAATGAAGAGTTATGCTCCCTCTGCCAATTTTCAAATTAGTGTTTTTGTCATTTTATTGTTGTAAAGATTCATTCTGTATTACAAATATAGATCCCTAATCAAATAGATGATTTGCATGTATTTTCTCTGAGTCAGTGGGTTGTTTTTTCACTTCTTGATGTTGTCCTTTATTTATTTATTTATTTTTAGAGAGGGGGAAGGGAGTAAGAGAGGAAGAGAAACATCAATGTGCCAGAGATAAATACATCGATCGGTTACTTCTCACATGCCCCCAACTGGGGACCTGGGCCACAACCCAGGCATGTGCCCTGACTGGGAATCGAACCGGCAACCTTTTGGTTCACAGGCTGATACTCAGTCCACTGAGCCACACCAGCCAGGGCTGATGTTATCCTTTAAAGCACAAAAGGTTTTAGTTTTAATGAAATCCAGCTTATCACTCTTCTTTTTTATCAGTTGTATTTTTGGTATCTTATCTGAGAAATAATTACCTAACCCCACGTTGTCAAGGTTTACTTTTGTATTTTCTTGTGTTTTTATTATTTCAGCTCTTACATTTAGGTCTGTGATCCACTTTGAGGTAATTTTTTTTTATGATGTGAGGTAGGGACCAAAATTATTCTTTCACATGTAGATAACCAGTTGTCCCAGCACCATTTGTTGAAAAATATCCATCTTGGTCCCTTTGTCAGAGGGACTATGAATATTAGTTTATTTCTCTTCTGTTCCTTTGGTCTTTATGTCATCCTGCGCCGGTGCCACATGTCTTTCTTTTTTTTTTTAATCCTCACCCGAGGATATGTTTACTGATATTAGAGAAGGGGATGGGGGGAGAAACATCAATCAGTTGCCACCCATATTTGCCCCGACTTGGAATTGAACCCGCAACCTTTTGGAGATCAGGGCAATGCTCCAACCAACTGAGCCACCTGACTAGGGCCTCACTCTCTTTATCACTGTGGCTTTTTAATAAGTTTTGAAATCAGGAAGTATGAGTCTGCCATTTTTGGTTTTTTTGAAGATTGTTTTGGCTGTTCTGTGTCTTTGCATTTTCATATGAGTTTTAGGATTCATTTGTCACTTTCTGCAAACAGCACTTTTAAAGTGGTTGTTATAGAACTACAAGTCTAGGATCTTTAATTGAGGTCACGAAACTCCTGTGCTTCTAAAATGGGCCCATAGTTCACAGAATATATGTTTCATTCCCTAGTATACCTAGTACTTTAAAATAAATACTGTATACACGCACGCACGCACACTACATTTTCTTTATCTACTTATCTACCTACGCATACTTAGGTTGTTTCCATGTCTTGCCCACTATAAGGAATGCTGTAGTGAACATGGGGGTGCAGATACTTCTTCAGATATATATCCAGAAGTGAAATTGCTGGATTGAGTATACTTTATAATTTTTTTAAGAAATTCTTTATTTATCTTTAGACAGAGGGGAAGGAAGGGAGAAAGAGAGGAAGAAAAACATTGATGTGTGACGGTTGCCTTTCGCAGGCCCCCAGCTGGGGACCTTGGCCACAACCCAGGCGTGTGCCCTGACTCGGAATTAAACCGGCAACCTTTCTGTTCACAGACTGGCACTCAGTCCACTGAGCCAAACCGGCAAGAGCTGAGTATACCTAATAGTTGTAACAACTTCCCTGATCTTCTAATTCTTCATTTAGTGAAATCTGTTATTTTCCGTGTGCCAAGGTCAGTGTCTGGTACTGAGTGAATGGCGATAATTAGGATCTAGTTCTTTCCTTCAAGTAGTTCCAGTCCTATGGACATAATACAAATAGTTGAGAAACAGTATTACAGAGGCTTTAGGTAGAGATGTTGTACAAGGGAGTGTGAATCCAAGGAGTGACGAGCACTAACCAAGCATGGACTCTAACACTTCTAATAGCTTTACATATATTAACTCATCTAATCTGTGTAAGTCCTGGGAAGTAGGTACCATCTTTCTCCACAGCTTTTTGAAAATTTTCTAATAAACATGAAATTGTCCCCAAACTCTCCTTCAAACTTCAAGAGTGGGCAGAGCATCCTTTTGTCTTCATGCTGTACACAGTGCGTCTTCCCTGCCCATCCAGCGTTCTGCCCCTCCTCTTGGGAAATGGCTGCTCCCCTGCATCTTCCCCAGGACTCTTGACTAACTGGAGAACAGGTGTTCTTTCAGCAGGTGGGGGCTCTGAGGGAAAGTTTTGCCTTAAGTGTCTTGCACAGTAAACAGTTTGGGGACAGGTGAAGAGTTTTAGCATTTTCCTGAGCAGATATAATGACGAACACAAGTAGGATGGTGCAGGAACAGAATGGAAAAGCCCTGAATGTACATGAATGATTTGATGAATACTATAGTATTCACTGGAGACATAAAATAAAACTATTTAAAGTATTTATGCGTGCTTAGAAATTCATACACAGGGTCTGCCGTGACAAGGAAAGTAGGCTAGTTCCAAAAAGCTATATATGGGGGGGGTGGGCACTTAGGATTTCAAGGCTGCCTCTCATCAGTGATTTGTATCTGTGTAAATTTACCAAATCCAGTGTTTATTTATCTATCTAATATTTGCTGACTCCAAATATTTTTAAACACTGTATCCTAGTCTAGTTATTAAGTGTATCATTTTAACTATTCTCAGGTCCAGTAAAATAAGAATGAAAGAGAGCAGAGCAAAGGAAAGGCACCTTTCCTTAAATGGCAGGCACTGTACCAGGTGGTGTTTTATATGTATTACTTTATTTAATCCTCAAAATAGCACTGAGGTAAGTATACTCCCCACCTTTTTCAAAGGAGGAAACAAACTCAGAGAGGTAAGTAATACCACAGCGCCCAGCCAGCCTGCTGCTCAGAGTTGTTGCTCTTTCTCTCAAAATTACCGCTCTTGCTACCAGTTTAGAAATGGGCAGGGAAGCCCCAGCAAGATACTGTTAATAGCATTTGTTGATCTGACCTAACTGCATTCATTTATTAATTCCACAGATACTTACTGAGTGCTTATGTACCAGGTATTATGCTGGACTCTAGTGAAGAAAAGAGAACAAGATAAACATGATCCTTACCATCATGGAGTTTATATTCTAATGAATTAGAGCTTTAGATTTATTTGCATAGTGCTTTATCTATTTGGTGCAGGTGTCCTGTTATATACATGTGTGCATTCATACATATACACATATTCACATGAACATGTATAATTTGGGGCTGTTTTCTAAAAAGGGAGAGGGATGAAGATTTTTTTTATAGATTGAAAATCTGGGGAATTTTTATTTTATTTTAATTTATTTTAATTGTATTTTATTTTTTAGAGAGAGGGTAGTAAGGGAGGTAGAAAGAGACAGAGAGAAAGAAACAGCTATCAGTTGCCTCTCGCACGCCCCCAACCAGAGACATGGTCTGCAACCCAGGCGTGTGAATTGAACCAGCAACTTTCAGTTTGCAGTCAGGCACTCAAGCTGCTGAGCCACAGCAGCTTTTTACTATTGCATTCTGTACCTTGTGTTTTAGTGAAACTCTGTACAATAAAACTCCTTTATGAATTTCATTTAGATTCTGCTTTGAAAGGGTTTTTTTGTCCTTTAATGTTTTATAATGGAAAATTTCAAATTTATTCCAAAGTGGGGAGCATTCTAAACCCCCCTGTACCTATCACTCAGCTGCAGTGATTACCAGCTCATGACCAATCTTGTAGGGAGGCAGTTATTCCAGGTAACTGGGTTCAGACGAATATTCAACCTATGAATTAATGTCTTTTACAAATAAGGTTTTGTGTATAACCATTCTTTTTCAAAGAGGTACCTTATTTATGACTTACGTAGTATTATTCAAGTAATAAGGTATTCTAATAATATAAACTGTTACACTGTGAGTGAGCTTTTTTAGAATGGAAGCTTCTTAAAACTCTGAATTAGGCATATTTCTCCTTTTGTAGTCCTTAGTTTAGCTAAGTAAGTAAATTTAAGTAACGCTTAGAGAAAGGCATTTGTTCATATTGGCCTGTTTCTTCCAGGTACACTTTTGGCTCTTTGTCATGTTCTGCAGAGAACAAAGCCAGTGTTAGAGTACAGTAACTTTGCAATTGTGTTTTTGAGTTAGACATTTTTGTTACTGCCATTTGTTGCATGATTAAATTCATGAAGGTAGAACAAATGATTTTTTATGATTACATGCTGATTTGGATTTATTTTTCTTGTGCAGAAGGAAATGTACAAATTACAACTGAAACTCGACTAAAATCTACTGAAGAAGTACAAGGTATGAAGGTCAATGGGACTAAGACGGACAATAATGAAGGACATAAGAATGACAATGTGAGTAAAGGTCTCTCGTCTGGGTGCAGCGATTACCCAGAAGTATACAAAATCATGACCAGTGGTGAGGTTTCAGAAACCAGCACATTAGTTTCCCTAGAGGCTTTAAACTTTGTGGACCCTGGATTAACAGAAGCAACTCCTAAAGAAAGAGAATGTGAAGAATTAAAAACTTGTTCTTCTTGGTTGTCATTATTACCAGGGAACAGTGCCATTTCCAAAGTGGACAATGGGAAGGAAGAGTTGTGTAAGTTAAGCCTTGTCTGTGAAGCAGATGACAATCACCAACAGATTCTTGGCCACCATAATGAAAATCATGGTTCTGCACAGGGCAGTCCCAGACCCATGAGAGATGTAGTTGTTGTAGAACCCTTAGGGAAAAATTCTGAAGTTTCATATTTCAAATCAAGTTTGTCTGGTCCAGAATCCAGAACAACATCCTTAGAAAAACGTGGTCTTGAAGGTGATGGCTTGCTAAAGAGATCTGCTGAAAATACAGACAGTTCCTCTTTTGATGGGAATGATCAAAGCAAGAATGTGGCTTCTAGAGAAGAAAATGAAGAACAGTTTTTGAACCCCAAGAATGAAAGAGAGGAACTCTTTCTTGTTAATGCCAGTCAACCAGAAGAGGCTGCCGTTGGTCATTGTTCCAGAGAAAAAAAGATTGTTGCCTCCCCAAAAGAAAATACCCACAGTAACTATTGCATTCAAGGCAGTATCCATGCAGACAACTCTGGTTCTTCAATGCCCAGTTCTTTTAGCGAAGCCACGGAAATAATGTTTAAAAAAAAAGATTTGAAAATCACTTTAGACATGCAAGGTAGCTTAACAAACCATGAGGACCATAGAGAAACCTTTACTAGCTTTTCTTCCTCGATGCAGCTCGAAGAGCCAGAACAGACAACCACTATCAAGCCCAGTACATTAAGTGAAAAGATTTATAGTAAAGACCCTAATTCCTTAGTCAGCATGCAGAGAAATCTGGAAGGCAACACCCAGTTAAATGAAGAATCATATAATGAATTTGTGATTAAAAAAAAATCCCTTGTGAGTGTAATGCCAGAGGACCAGATAAGTCCTGTAAGTGAGGAATCAAAACCCAAGAAAGATACTGCTCAGCTGTCATCATCCCTAGACTCTGATTATAGACCTGTGTCAGAGAAAGCTGTACAGACTTTACAGGACAATATTCCACGTTTAGATGAACAGAGCATTATGCGTGAGATAAATGAACCTCCTTGTACTGATGAACTGGTTCTAAACAAATTAGGAAGTGACTGTGTTTTAAATCAAGTGTCCCTTAATTCTCAAGACCATGCGAAGTTGCCAGTTGGCAAAGAGATGCCTTTAGTAATAAGTGAGGATTCCCAACAGAGCCATCACCCTCCATTAGAGGATGGAGCCAACATCATTGCTGAAATCCAAACCATTCCCATGAAAACAAAAATGAAAGACATCTCCCCACCAGGTGACAAAACCTGTGGTGCTTCCTCAAGCAATCCTACCTTAAATATCAAACCAGGAAGCCTAGAAAGACAAAACAAGATGGCTGGTTCAGAAACGGAAGACCTACATTCCAGACTTCTCCCAAGTAAAAAAGAAGCAGCAATCTTGCCTTCAGAGGTCTCTGTCATGGAATGTCAAAGTGTTCAATCTCAGGACCTCTCTAGCTGCCACTGTATAGGAAAAAATGTGCCAGAAGAGAGCATGTGTTCTGTGTGTGCTGCTTTTGAGTCTAGCAGAACCATCCTGGAAGTTGAAAATTCTTTGATAACAAAGTATGAAAACACATTTCAGCACAGCAATAGCCACTCCCCAGAAAGCGAAGACTCCTCGGAAAGTAGCACCCATACAGCGGGTTATACACTGCAGGAAAAGGAGCTTAACGGAAGAGAAACTAAAGGCAGCCTTCCAGGAGATGAGGTCAGAAATGAAAGGACAGCAGGTATGTTAAATAGTGAAGCTTCAAACAAAACCATTCACACCACTAATCACATCCAAGCCAATGAGAAAGGGCTAGAATTAAAGGAACAGGATACACCCAAAGACACTGTGTTTTGTGAACATAATATCTTTGATTGTGCCACACAAGAACTAAACCAATCTGTAAACATTCCAAATCCTGAAAAACTGTTGGACCAGTCTCGTACTGCTGAGTTTGCCAATTTTAAAAACATGAACCAAGCAGTTAAAAGTCTTGATCAGAAGACAGATGAAGTCTTTGACTGCCATAGTAACCCTGACATACCACATGAATGCAGAAGTGCAGATAAGTCATCTAAGGAGACACTAGGTAATGACCAGAGAGACACCATCACAGAGCCTAACACAGAGGTAAGCCACAACGCAAAGGATCTGTCATTCAGTTCAGGCAATAACAAACTGTCTAGTGGTAGCCTGAAAAAAGGCTATTTGAAAGGAGCCTTTGAAAGGACTTCTAGTTGTGAGGAATCCACAGATGGTATGGTAGACATCATTTACACAGACTGTAGTAATAAGCCTATGGAAGGCATGCTGGATGTAAGAGCATCTAGCACACTTGATGGTGGTACATGGCAAGGTAGATTGGCATTAACTGAAACCTCAAGGAGTACCCTGTCTCAGAGAGGAGACTTGAATGCTGCATGTATAGAAAAGATTGACCAGGATTCAGATTCCCCAGACGCTATTTCCTCTGCAGTGGAATCTCTTGAAATAAAAAAATCATGTGAAGAGACAGTCTGCAGATCATTAAAAGACTGTGAAATGGAAGCGTGTCCAGACTCTTCTGCCAGTGAGATGGAATCTATTGCAGATCATGAACCAAATATAGGAATATCAGATAGTGTTAATGTGTCTTTAAATCATATTCATTATGAATGGCAAGTTAAAGAAGCATCTCTGAGAGAGACACTAGGAATGACTGAAAGGTCAAGACTAGAAATGCATCCTGAGTTTGACAAGGAAAATACCTTTGAAATTCCCTCAAAAGAATTGATGTCTTTTAGACACCAAAATGAGATATCTGTTCCCACAGAGAGGCTGAAATCCATTGAGATAATGCCTTTATATCTGTCTTCTCAAGAAAATTCAGACGCTAACTTTAATAGTGAAGAAATGGGCCTGAAAAATATTTTTAAACCAAAAGATGGTGAAATGCTTTGTGAAAATGTAGAGGACTGCACAGTCCTGCCTGAGGTGAAGGAAGGAGCTCCAAGGGATATAAGTAATTCTAGTGAAGGAAACAGCATTGACAGCAGTGTAAAAATTGTGCCTTTGATGATGGAAAAAGAAACTAAAGTGAAAGGAGAAGAAACCGAAGAACATCAGAGGGGACCCCTGGATCACATAGCTGTTGGGGAGGAATCTGAGGAGATGATTTCCAGAGATGGTGATCTTGGTGAAAATATGAGTGAGATTTCTCAGACACACTTTAAATCTCTGAGGATGCTTGGTAATGCTGAAAAACAACAAAGCCAAAGGGATTTGGATTACATGTGTCAGAGGGAAGAGGAATATATACATCAAAAAGAAGCACATACGATATTGGAACAATCATCATCTAATATGTTATCAAATGAGGTGCAAAATGAGAACCGACCTAAGGATTGCAAATATGAGTACACCGTGATTAAGGAAATCTCCCCAGCAAAGCTGGCCAAGGAAAACATTACTGGACAGTTTCAGAAGTTGAAAGAACCAAAGGAGGAAAACCTATGTCATCCATTAAAAAAGGGCATTGAGTTGTGCATAGGTCCTTGCCTTCGTGGTGCCCCCCAGAAAGCACAAAACCCCAATTCTGCTAGGTGTGACGAAATATATGGTGCCTTTGGGGACACTTCACACCAGAAAAGAGTACTTCCCTTAAAGAAGCAGCCTCATCGGACGTGTAAGAAAGTTTCCTGTCAGGAGCAAGTCAGCATGGGGAGAAAGATAAGTAAAATCAGAAATTCTGCCTTTTTAAAGAGTTCCTCTGAAACCATCCCCACAAAAACACACAGATTTCTCAGTTCACATGCTGTGTCTGCACCCACACGACTGGAACCCGAAACAGTACCTACCAGGAGCTTAGTCAGTCACATACCAAAGCAGAAGGCCACTCCGTGCCATCTCTTAAGGAGCCTGAGTGTCAGGAAGCCTACCAAAGAATCAGCCTTACTCAGCAAGCTCTCCATCCTTGCCTCCAAACTGGCCCCAGCCACAAAGACTCAGAAACTAAGGTATCGGCGGTGTTCCTCTGAACTACTTCCAGTGGCTAAAAGCTACAAGCGGCTCAGATATAAAAGGCTCCTAGATGGATTTTCATACAATACAATGCAGTTGAGTCCGTATTTGACAGCTAGTGGATGGGATAAGAGGCCTAACAGTAAACCCTTGACACTTTATCCTCTTGAAGCCATCAAAATGAGCTTCATAGATTTGAGCAACAAGATGCCGTTGCTGCTGTTCGGTTCTGAAATCTTCCCAGTATCCTTTCATGTGAAATCAGGCTCTGAGTGTGTGACTGAGTCCCCAAGGACTTTTCCTGAGCACTGTGCTCCAGCGAGGCTTGCCTTAGGAGAGGCCGCCCTGTGCCCTTCTCAACCTCCCAAGTGGACCTTTTCTTTCTTCTTATCCCATGGTTGCCCTGGAATGGCCACATTCAGGGAAGATACTGGCCTCCACAGTCAGGCACATGCCCAGGCTCCTCCACAGCCTCCAGTTCCGCTCCGAGACTACGGAGGCACCGCCATAGTCCAGACAAGAGCAGGCTGCTCTATCCTTGGCCTTCACACACTCCTAGCACTTTGTTCCCCTGGATGTTATCGAATCTGGACAAAAAAACGGAGCTTCTCCAGTCACACGCCTACCATGCAGAGGCTCTTCATGACCCAGTTTACACAAGGCTTGAAAGGATTAAAGTCCCCAGCCTCCATAGCAGACAAGATCTTCAGCTCTCTGCCCTATTCGGTGGGCCGAGTGCTATCAGTTTGGAGCCAGCATGGGCCTTCTGCCTGCCCCTTCGAAATCTCTGCTCTTCATTCCACTCACAGCAAGCGACAGCCAACTCTGGGCACCACAAGCAGGTAAACTGTCTCCTGTTCTTTGCAAATGTCCCGCGTTTGCTTCCTGCCTCTGGGGAGAGAGTGGGGTACTACTGGGAAGGCAGAGCTATTTGAGCTTTGTGTGTGTATTTTCTGCTTATGCCTTGCCAAATCTCTGCTGAGAAAATGCAGCAGTAATTCTTAAGTACAGACCCCTCTAATTTCCTGCAGAATCCTTTATTTTGTACCATTCATTGTTCTGTCCATTTGTTCTGCAAACCATCATATCTTTTGAATCTCTTTTCTTGCACCTACCTAGCAAAGAACAAACACCATCACAAGATAAAGACTAAGTAGTGACACATAATGGCTTGTAACTATACCTTCTTCACAAACTAATATATAGCAAGCAGCTAATTCAGATTTTGACCTGTAAAAGATACAGGAGAAATACTTTGTAAATTAATTATGTAGGCGTCACCAAACCTGGCTTAAGAACGTTTGCATTTTTTTCTGGAGCAGAGAGGCTTCAAAGATTGGCATTTACATATTATGGTTGTAGGATTTATAGAACTTTATGTGACCTTGGAAAAGAGTTCTTATGGTTTAGCCACCAAGAAACTAATTTCACCAGTATTATTTTACCTTCTAGTTGAAAATAAAAGAAGAAAAAGAATTTGAGAGTTATATCCCCAAAGATCTGCTTTAGGCATAATAGATAAATCCTCATGTTTGTAATACTTTGGATAAAAGAAACTTCTAAGTATTTTTTATTTTGCCCTTATCATTGCTATAGTTTAAAAAGCTTTAAAATTCCAAACAGCCTGGGAGCTTTGTGTATGTGGACAGCCTCTTAAGAAGAATCATTCTGTCATTAAAAAGCTGCTGGTGCATATTGTGAAGTTCCCCAAGCATCTTAGAAAACTAAATGAATAAAGGGGTTTTGGAAAAATACCCCAGAACCTAAATGTGGCTGATTGAAATTGAAAGATGAATTACTACTATAGATACTAGAAAAATGTTTGCTTCTTTTAATGCAGCCATAAAAGTGCATTGGAATGAGTCAAATTGTTTTAAATGATGGTGTACTGCTTTATTGTCTAGTTCGTTGGTATACCTCTACAATCTCATAATTTTTCCCTTTTCCATGTCTAAGAAACACAGCTTTTCATCGTGTTTCTTTTTTTAAACTGCTCATTCCTGAGGAGAATGTAGAAGAGTAGTTACCCATTTCACCCTGGGAAGGTGTGTGACCCGCTTTTTCCTCTTCCAGAACTCTTTCCCACCTGAAATGTGTGTTTTGTGGTGTGGAATATTTCTCCCTCCCTTACTTTCTATATCTGGCATTTTATTTATTTTATGTTAAAGATTTTTATTTATTTATTTTTAGAGAGAGAAATGAGGGAGAAGGAGAAGGAGAGAAACATCAGTTAGTTGCCTCTCAAGCACCCTCCACTGTGGACCTGGCCAGCAACCCTGGCATCTGTCCTGACTGGGAATTGAACTGGTGACCCTTTGGTTCATAGGCTGGTGCTTAGTCCACTGAGCCACACCAGCCAGAACTTATTTTATTTTTTAATTTAATTTTACCTTAGTTTTTAAAATTAAATTTATTTTATTGTATTTATTTTTTAATTCTAGTGGAAGTTGGAGGGGTGCTGTTTGTAGTGGCTTTTTCTTCTCATTGGCTCTGAAAGTACCTTAGCATCTTATGCTTTGGCTTTGAATCTAGAAGTTTTCTGTTTTTCTAAAAATGCTTAGAAATGTTAAGTGCAATAAATTGGGTAGCCCCGAAGAGCAAGACTTAAATTAACAAAGATTAAATTAATTTGTTTCTGTAGTATTTTCTTATTTGAACTTTATTCTCTAGCACTCCATAGTATAGGTTGAACAGGCATCTTTTCCTTTTCAGGCATTTTTGCCTTTTTTATATATGATGAACCTGAGGCACATAGCATTTTTCCAACCAGATCACTTTCCTGGTTAGTGTTTCAGCTGAGCTAACTTAGAACAGAGGCCTCCCAATTTCTGATTTGGTCAGTCTTTTTTTCTTTAGTATTCCACCATGCCTTACTTTCCTTTTATCTCTCCTCCTCAGAGAATACTGAGTTGCATTCCAAAAATCTGAACTATCTGTGTTTACCTAGTCATTGAACAAATTTCTCTTCTAAGAGGAAATGGATGGTATGGTCATCACACTGTACTGTGTTCTAAATTCAGTAGAAACTGATTCAGGCTTTACTTTAAGAGATACAAAAAGCTATCCAACATAGTGTATTCATATATCTTTAAGCGATTATTAAAACTATTGTTTCACCTATAAAAGTGAAAGATTCACTATTAAGAGACCAACCATCCTGTTAATAGTTTTCTTCTACATATCTGCATTTTATGTGGAACTTGGCTTTAAAGAAAACAAAGTTTTCTTCATAATTTTGTATAAGGTTATAGATATTGGCAGCTTTTATTTTAGTAGAGTTAATGCAGAGCTGGATACAGTATAGGATTTTTGTTTGTAATTTTTTTAAATCTTTAATATACCTATTCAACAACTTGATTTAAAGGTATAAGAGTCAAGATCATTCTTGTTCCCCTCCTTTCTCTTATTGTCCTATGTTTATTTCTACGTTCTTTCTGTTTAAGTGAGAAAATAGTCTTCCTGCAGTCTGCCTCTTTTCCAGTGATGGGAATGTAATTCTCCTAACCGGGAGGTTTTCATCTTTCTGAGTGAATGACATTTCTTATCTTCCTAGGGCTTTAATTGAGTGTCATGTGCCAAACCTGAATGACATCAAAACCTTTCCTGTTGTTCCACTGCCCTAACCTATTGCTCTTGTACTTTTGCTTCACTTCAGCCACACCATGTTACCATATGTGCCTCTTCCAGGCATGGAAGCTACTTACAACACCAGCGGCAGTCAGATGAGGTAAGCCTTCAGTGGTGCCTGGCACATGAGGGCTTGCAGTGTGTGTGTGGGGTGGGGGGTGTGGGGGTGGGTGTGTGTGTGTGTGTGTGAGAGAGAGAGAGAGAGAGAGAGAGAGAGAATACTAGCCAATGGTATTGATTAGGCATGGTGTGAATCTGAGCTCTTGTTCTTCTAAACCAGATTGAATCTTAGATTCAAAAGTGTTTTATTGTAACTAGCAACTAAGAATGTATAATCAATACCAGATATTGGGGGAGGGGGGGTTGGTGGTCAGAATCACTTAGCCAGCTCATCATACCGTAAGTTCCTTCTCAAGCTATTTCTTAGTCATTTAGCCAACTTCAGTGCCTGGATGGGATTGATCTCCTCTGTACACATTTCATTGGCTTAGTTCACTAAATCTCCTCTCCCTTCCAAAAAATCTGTTCTACATTTTTATGTATTCATTACGTTTTCATTATTCATCGCTCCATACCAATGCAATGGATTGACCACATTCTTGTAAATTTTTATACATGTAGACACAGGCCATGACCAGAAGTGACTTGAAATGTCACTACTGGAAAAGGGCTTCAGCCCTATCCTGGGTGTTGAATTGAATGTGCTGAGGTAGAAATTGAATCTGCTTTTATTTTCTTTCCTGTTTTTCTCTCTGTGCTTCTAGGCTAGAGCCTCCATTCCCTGCCTTGGTACCAAAGTCCTGCTTGGTAACAGACTCAGCTGTCAGCAAGCTCCTGCTTTCAGCCTCTGAGTTCCAGGTTCCTGGATTAGATGAACTGGATGGTGTGACAGCCTCTTGTCCCCATCCACAAAGCAGCCCTCCAGAACAGAAAGAGGTAAGTGTAAAGTGCTGGTGGGGTCAGATGACAGTGGCTCGGGAGCTGTCTGTTAATGGTTACAGATCACGTGACAGATACAGGTGGGCCCCTGAGTATCTTTATTTACTACCTTTTGCTTCAGCTGAGTACTGGAGATTACCAAAACAAGAGGTTTTCTCTTTGTCCACTACAGGATACCCTGGATCTCTTTTTTTCTCTTTCTCTCTCTCTTTTTTTTTTTTTTTTTTAATCTTACCTCAGGACATACTTATTGACTTTAGAGAGAGGGGAAGGGAGGGAGAGAAACATCAGATGTGAGAGGGAAACATAATTTGGCTGTCTCTCACATGCTTCCTGATCGGGGACCAACCTGCAACTTAGGCATATGCCCTGATTGGGAATCAAACCAGCAGCCTTTAGTCTACAAACGATGCTCCAACCAAGTGAGCCACGCCTGCCGGGGCCCTGTATCTTTTCATCTACGTTGTTTCCTGGATCCCTTTTTCTTCCTGAACGTTTAGAGAATTAGACCACAGAGCTGCTTCATGCCTTCAAAGAAAATGAGTGAATGATGGTGTTCAGTTTTGCAATATCTGCTGTCTCCTATAGATACTGATAACTCAGTATCTGAACTGAATGTACTATTCCCTTTCAATAATGTAAAAGAGAGTAGTTGCTGAAAACACTGGTGGCAGGAGTAGGAGGGGAAGCTTTGTCATAAACAGCTTATTAGAGTGCTCTGTAAACCAAGGAAGTGATATCTTGAGGGTCAAGAAAAGGGACTTTTTATATTCAAAATGTCTTACAACTTGACCATCTTTATTTTTAACCCGTAAAAATAGGCTGAGCCAGAGAAGAGGCCAAAGAAAGTCTCACAGATTCGCATCCGGAAAACCATTCCTAAGCCAGATCCTAATCTTACTCCAATGGGCCTCCCTCGACCCAAAAGGTGAGCTCTTTCTCTAATACACTTAGCTTCACTTTTTTGAAAAATTGTTTGGCATACTGTAATGACCTTTTAATGATCGTATACTCTGAGCAATTGTACTTCTAGGATTTATCTAAAAATATTCATTGGCAATGTGGCCAGAGATTCATGGCAGAGATATTTTAATGCATTCCTAATCATCTGTATTAAGCTCACCATGCCTGGCATTGTGCTGTCCCTTTGGATGCATATCTGTCCTTCAGTGGTGCTGGGAAGCAAGCGCTGTTGCCATCCCCAGGTTTAGGTGAGGACGCTGAGACTCAGTGGTTAAGGAACCTGTTGGGCCATGGCGTCCGTCATAACGCAGATGGTTTCTGTCTCACAGGGCCTTAGCTGCCCGCACAGTGCAAGCTCACAACATTCTGGGCACAAAGCTAAGAAGGGACCTAAATGTTATGAAGGAAAGATGTTTAAACTTTTTTTTTTTAAAGAAAATGCCAGATCCATGTAATGGTTTATATTATGGCCTGTAAGGATCTGGTTTCTAAAGGTTAATTTTTTATGATAGAGGCAATTGCTAATCCTATAAAGTGAAGTGGGAAGAAAAAAGATTACCAAATTATGTATTTGTCATGATTTCAAATTATGTATTTAGCCTTATTCCAGTTTTGGGATTATGTATATTATACAGATACGCTATGAAAACTTAAACATTTTTTATAAAGAGCTCTAGAGTTATATTTTCACATGGTAGACCTCACTCCTTCATTTCTCATTGGCAAATGGAAGCCCAACAGTGGTCCCTGAAGTCACCCAAGGTAAGTTATTTAATAATCTCCCTGAGCTTCCAGAATTTTCTGTAAAATGTAAGAATTCCCAAAGCTTAAAATTGCTGTGCAGTCCAATTGAGAAAAAAATGTACTGTAGCTATTATATTGCTTCACACAACACATATACAATAAATAGTTAACTAATACTGTGATCGTGATTTACATTCCACTTTTCCCACATGGCTTTCACTTTAATGTATTATATTTTTATCTTACAATTCTATTATTGATCATTCTACCATATACCTTTTCAAAAAATATTTTTAAAGTATTTTAAAAATATTTTAGATATCCTAGGTTGATTAGTACTCATTACTAGAATGAAATAGGATTCAGAATCGGATGTAATCTATCTTATAAGTAAGAGTTCTGAAAAACCTTGTTTATAAAAATAATAGTTGGGAGTGCAGAGTTTTAATATAGGAATGATAGTCGATCCTTTCAACTTCTTTCAAATAATATACAAAAATAATCACAGAGTGACCTATCATCAAATTATATTTAATTATTTATCATTTAATTCTTTTTGAAAGCAAAGGATCAAAAAGCACTGACTTAGATTGGTTCTGTTACCCAGTCAGGGTTTCAGTGTTTGGGAAATGCACCTTAAAAACCTGACCAATAGTACAAATACTTGGTAATTTGTGTGTTACTCTTTCATTTAGTGGTACTTTATTTAAATTTAGTATAATGAAAGGGGTTGAAAAAAATAAGATTTTAATAAACCTTGCCTAAAATATCTTTTTGATAAAATGCTTTTATTCAAATAGTCTTGTGTCCAAGAAACTTTGAAGTTGCAGAGTTAATGTATTAAATTTATGGCAAATTCTTGACATACAGCTTAATTGGCGATGACAATTTTTATTATTCAAGCCCATCACCCAAGTCATTCTTTCTTCCTAACTCTTCTGTTTTCCAACTTAAGTAAATGTGTTAATTTGCACCTTAAAGTTATACAAACCATTGAGACATAAATTATAAAACACACCTTGCAAGGTAGATTTGTAAAAGCCATAAGTTAGAATTAAAATCATGTATAAGAAATATAATTAATTTATCCATTTTAATGCATTGTTAAAACAAGATGATAATGCTCTCATTACTGAATTTATCATAAAGCAATGCACTGTGGAGCTAGAAAAGAACGTGCCCTTAAGAATTAAAAGCCGCAAGCTGGCCATGTCACAGATTTGTGAGATCCTGAATACATGTCACCAGAAGACTAAAAAAACCTTAGGCTGAGAATTTAGTTTACAGTGTCCCAGGCTGGTAGTGCCTTCGAGCTCTTCTAACAAACACAGTTTCCCAAGAAATCTACTTCCAGATTTGGCCTTAAATAAAAGATGAAGGAATGTAAAACAACTTCCAATAAAATAAATCTCAAAGCATGGAGAGAAACATGGTTCCTTGCATGAATGCCAGTGGAAATAACAGCAAATCAAATATGTTCAGGGAAATAAACTACCTACTGTGTGATTTCAACTATATGACATGGTGGCAGTTTTGTTACTACTAGAATAGTACAACCATATTTTGGAATAGTCTCAAGATGCTTCCTTCTGTAGGAAAATCAGGTCCTAACAGCAGATCAAGTGACGGAGAGATCAAGGAATCACTGGATGGAAGACACTCAAGTGTAGACTCTGCCAAAGCCACTGTGGGCAGGGTGACATATCCACAGAAAGTGTGCTTTTGAGCCAGTCTGTTATCTCACCACGTCCAAGGAGAGAAGCCCCTCGGAGGAAGGCAAAGTTTGTTGAGGGCCCAGGAATTCCAGAACCAAGGCTTCACTCACCAGCCTTCAACTTAGCTCAGAAACTGGATGCACATGCCCTGATTTGCAAGTCAGAAAGACTACCCAGAGCCTAATCTTTCCATTTCTGATTGCCCGTCTGATATCCTCAATCTAATGTAGCTCTTGCTATTGTTAAGCAAAGTAGCTGTTGTTTCTTGGAATGCCTGTGCTAAATCACTGAAAAATCATATCCTTATTATTATTTGTGTACAGTTTCCACAAGCATGTTCTTTGCTGAATTGGAATTGAACCAAACTAAACCTCAGTTAAGATTTTCAGAAAGCCAGGAAGAAACTAAAACATGATGCCAAAAAGTTAATTGCCATGCTCTGCGATCCTCTTTTCTTATCTAAAATAGGTTCAAGGCATAGAAACGTTGCAGTGATTTGCTCTTCCACAACAAAGTTACTATGTTCTCTGAAAAGAAGGTTATACTAAGAGTGGTGACCTAAGGGTTGAAGCTATTACCTTTTAATTTGTAGCAAAAATTACGGTAACAATAAACAGGTGAATTGAGTACACTCATAAACAAAGTGTGAATTTATGGTATGTGAACCAGGACTCCTTAAAGACTGATTACAGGTCTAAGGCAAGAAATATACAAGATGAGCATCAAATATCTTGTCACACCAGAAAGTGGTGGAGATCTCAAACACCACTAGGGCCATGTCAGTGACATTCAGGAACCAATTCGAAATCCCACTGGCCACAGATGAAACAGACTGAGTGTTAAAAAGAATAATAACTCTAATAGATTGAAGTGCATCAAATATGTTAAAATCCAATAGCTTATAATGATACTTTAAAATAAAAATCATTGGCTGTATTTGGACGATCGGTATTAGGGAACTAATGAATTGTTTTGGAAATTGGTAAATAAAGGGAAAGAACCAAACATGGGACCTGCTTTTTCTGTGCAAACTGGTCCTTGGGGTTACCAAAAAATTGATGAGCATGAAGTTTCTACCCAAGTAGAAGAATTCTACCAAATGAATAAAGGAGGAATGATAGACTATGTACAACCCTTAAAGAAATAATAAATATAGTCAGTGTTTATCAGTGGCTATTAGTCTCACAAAAAGGGTGACAACAGGGATTGTGTCCCTGGCGATGGAGGTAAACACTACGGCCTAAAAATCTTCCTATCAAAACAGACACCTATATCTGATTATGCCTCTATATCTAGTTGCTAATCTCTAGGAAATACCTGTAGTCTTTACCGTATGTTTAGGTCAAAGGAACATGTGAAATGACACTAAGCAGATCTAATCAAAATAATCTCACTGGGGGATTTACAGGCCAAATTACCTGGTTTCTCCAACACATAAATTACAAAATTAAAAAAAGGAGACAAAATAGAACATTAATAACATAAATTGGGACAGTATTGATCCAACCTAGAAGTTCCTGGGACCTTGTATTGTTTGGGAGAAGGGTAAAAGTATTAATGTATTAATGTACTTCAGTTTCTAAGTTGAGTATGCTCTTAAAATTCTTGCCAGCCAGCCCTGACCAATGTGGCTCAGTTGGTTCGGTGTCATCTCACAAAGCAAAAGGTTGCAGGGTTGATTCCTGCTTTTATTTTAAAGTATCATTACAAACTATTGGATTTTAACGTATCTGATGTGCTTCAATCTATTACAGTTATTATTCTTTTTGATGCTCAGACTGTTTTTGATGCACATGCCCGGGTTGCAGGCCTGGTCCCTGGTTGGGGCACATGCAAGAAGCAACCAATTGATGTTTCCCTCCTCCTTTTCTCCTCCCTTCCCCTCTCTCTAAAAAAAATAAATAAAATCTTTTTTAAAAAAATTCTTGCTAATCACTGAAAGAATAAAAGAATGTGTAATTTCCAAGCCAGGAAATGGGGGAAAAAGAGAGACAGAAAGAGGGAGCAGTAAAATAATGAGAAGAAAAAGAAGCTGTAAAATAAGGTAATATATATAAATTCAGCTATATCATTTCCAATAAGTATAAATAAATGAAATTTCATAAAGTTGAAGAATGGCAGCCCCGAAAAGAAAATCCAGTACATGTTGTTCACTTGAGATACACCTAAAATGTATTATACAAAAGTTGAAAGTACTTGTACATGAATGGAAAGGACAGAGTTAGACAGCCAATTGTCTCTTTTAAGAGAGCATGACAAATTTGTTCTCTTTTCAGGTTAAAGAAAAAGGAGTTCAGCTTAGAAGAAATATATACCAACAAGAATTATAAGTCTCCTCCTGCAAACAGGTAGGTACATATGAGTAGGAAATAATAAATGGGGAGGGTTTCTGAAATGACTGATGTAAATCTCCAGTTTTTTAACTTCAGAAAGGGTAGGTTCAAGTTCTTCCAGTGTTGGGTCTTGGAAATTATGAGAATTGAAATTTTTAGTCCCCAGCACTTGAATTGTGGTCAGTGATAGAATGGGAAAGAATGTGTATTGGGTTAGGTAGGTACAGAAAACGTAATCTTATTTTAGTTTGTACTGGAGTTTTTACTAAGTATGCTGGCTGTTTTCAGGACTAATAATTGATATTCAGATATAGGATTCCAAACTCAAATTCCAAAAAGCTTTCACTTGGCTGCCTTTGGGTCTGAATCCAGTTGAAGTCATTAAACATTTAAATTCCTATCATGTCTAGGATATAGCAGGAGAGTTCTAGAATTTTATTCTACAAAACAAATATTTGCCCTAATACTTTTGTACGACTATTTATTGTAGCATTACTAAATAATATGAAAGGATTGGAAACAAAATATCCATTGATAGGATTCTGATTAAATTGTGATCCATCCTGGTAAAGGTATATACTGTAGAGCTATTCAAGAAAATGAATCTGCCCTACTAGTGTAGATTAGTGGACTGAGTGCCAGCCTGCGAACCTAAAGGTTGCTGGTTCAATTTCCAGTCAGGGCACATGCGTGGCTTGTGGGCCAGGTCCTGGGATGGGGGCGTGTGAGAGAACAACCTATCGATGTTTCTCTTGCACATTAATGTTTCTTTCCCTCTTTCTCTCTCCCTCCCTGTTGCTCTAAAAATAAATAAATGAAATATTTTTCAAAAGAAAAGAAACCAGATGACCTGTGTCCCCAGTTGGAACAGCCTTAGTTATTGATAAGCCAGAGAGACACAGTGCATAGGGCCTTGTACATGGTTTGCTATGAGTGGCATAAGAAAACCAAAATGGAGGATATGGGCCCTAGTCCAGGAAACAGGTCAGATCCAGCCAACGTTCTATTTCTTTTTCCCTTTTGAATTTTAATGGCCTTTGGACTAAAAATGATTTCCATGTTTTTAAAGGGTTGTTTAATAACAAACAAACAGAAAAGAATATATAACAGACCCCTGTGACCCGTTAATTTTTAAATGTTAACTTTTCTGGACCTTTACGCAAAAGAGCAAGTCTGTATATTCAATGACTTTTGGAAGGATACACAAAAATATTAGGGGTCTTGTTTTTTTTCCCTTTACCTTTTTGTCCAGTTTCAGTTTTTTCACTATGTGTTTCTAGTACCTATTTTATATATATAATTTTTAATACAAAAAATAGATACTGGCCAGAGGAAACAATTGACTAAGATTTGTTGATGCAGGTAACTTTCAGTCTGTTGACTAGAAGTATTGCTGCATGAGTTGGTGTGTGGGTGATTCTGTTTTGTACTTTACCCTTAGGTGTTTAGAGACCATCTTTGAGGAGCCTAAGGAACGAAATGGTACTCTAATTTCAATCAGCCAACAGAAGAGGAAGCGAGTTCTAGAATTTCAGGATTTTACAGTCCCGCGAAAGAGGAGAGCTCGTGGTAAGGTTAAGGTGGCAGGCAGCTTCACCAGAGCCCAGAAGGCAGCACTGCAGAGTCGAGAGCTGGATGCCCTTTTGATACAGAAACTCATGGAACTGGAGACCTTCTTTGCCAAGGAAGAGGAACAGGAGCCATCATCTGGTTGTTGAGAAGCAATTTGGTTTGTGGGTCTTGGTGTTAGGTTGTCTGGGCCTCCTTAGAAGAGGCTGCCTAATTTTGCCCTATGCCCAAACCACTCCAAATGCAGTCCATGGATTTTTACCTGTTTCAAGGTGCAACCTTTTTAGAAACTGGTGAAGGAGGGTCCTCTACTTCTACTGCTGAGTATAGAACCTCAGGAATGCTCCCTGTCTCCTGGAAGTGGTCCTGAATGACACCTGGCCTCCTCCTTCCACGCTCTGCCATCCACAGGAGGAAGACACAGCATACTTTCAGTAACACTAGGATTCCAAGGACTCACTGCATTTGCACGTCCATGTGAAAGTCCCATGTTGTTTACGGTGGTGCTAGACCAAGATTATTTAGAGACGTTGCCTAGGGAGGGGGACCTGGCGTCCTGTCCTGTCCTTCATGGTCTCACTGGCTCATTTCAGTAGTTGAGTAAAGATGAGCCTGTGGTGTTTTCTAATCCTTTGAGTCTGTCTGCCCAGAATGTGGCGCGCGCGTGCGTGCGTGTGTGTGTGCGTGTGTGTGTGTGTGTGTGGCTTTTTCCCATCATTTTTTTTCTCCCTTCTGTGACTGGGTCACTAGTGCCACAGGAGCCCGTCCAGGCCCCATTCGAAGTAAGTTGCACTTTTTAATGTTGTGGTGTTATTTGCATTTGTTTTATTTCCTTTTTTTTTTTTTTTTAATTGCTGCATGTTTGGAGCCTTTAAATGTGATTTTAAAGCAATTTTTTTACGACATCGAGGAGAAAGACAATACATGTCTTCAGAATAGATGGTAGACGTTGACCCAGTTTATCAGGCATGGTTTGGGACAGTGGAGAGACATTTTTGCATTCACGTGTTTCAAGCAATCCCTTCCCCATCTCCACCTTCTAGTGTAATTCATTAGAGGGAGCACTTTTTGCATCTGGGTTCTCATTCTTGCCTACTAAGTAAGTAGATGTATTAATTTTAATGATGAAAGTAAGAGGAGGTTTCTCTCCCAATCGTTTAAAAAGTGTGAAGGTTGGGTGTGGTCTTTTAATGGTTTCTTTCTGAAATGGTGTTGGTATGTAACAAAGTTTGGTACAGCAGCCTGAGTGGTGATAAAGGCCGACCCATAGTGTTTGCAGCTGTCAGAGCAGCCTGCTGTGAGTGGAAAGAGGTGACGCAACATGGTTCAAACTCGGTGATGCATTTGTGGTGGGATCACGAAATTCCACAGCCGGCCCTCTCTGGGGACACCTCACTGTACTCTGGGCTCCTGGGTCAGACCTGCTGGAAATGTAGAATGGCAGAGTTTGCTGAGCTGCTGCTTTGTGCCCATAGGAGTCTGTGGGCAGGAGGATGCTGTGTGGGTTAGCCAGCCTGGAGGTTTCATTCCTTTCCCACCAGTCCCTGTGTTCCCTCACCCTGCTTCCCCTGACCTCTTTTCCTTGTGTGTTTTCCTTTCTCTCTCTCTCTCTTTCAAAACAAGAGTTCAGAGAATTAACATTCCTTGGCTGGTGAATGGGATACTAGATGGAGCCTCAGGACACTGCTCACCTCTTTCCATCCTTGTAGGAGCCACTGCTGGGAAGCAGCTGCCAGTGGGAACTGTCAAAGCTTCAGAGACGTTTTCAAGTCAGTCTGTTAGAGGAGAGTGAGTGGTGCGGTCCTGGAATGTGTCTCCTGGATTTCTTTCGTTTCCCCATTTGTTAGTGGGTGGGGAGATGGGGTGGGGTGGGGGGTTTCTATGTGCCTTTCCTTTGCAGGTTGACAGTCTATGCCACACTGGAGCAGGAAAACTGACATGAGCAGGAAAAAACAAAGTGCCACATCTGTCTTCTAGGCCCACTGCCTCATACGTAGTATTTAGTAAGTTAAATACGTACCTAGTAATACACCGAGGCTTCTAAGGCCATGGCCAAATAGCATTAGAAGAGGGCCAGGCTTCCACGCTGGCTCTGAATGATGTGACCCACATTCTGCCGGTCTACATCCACTTTGCCTAGACTGTGTAGACATGACCTGTGTTTCACCTCAATACCTCTCCCTTCCTGGGACAGGGTTTGTAGACACTAAATGCTTCTCTCTGTATTTTTGCTTTAGGGACTGGGGTGACTAATACATTGTGTCCTTGTACAAACGTTTTTAGGGAACTACTGCTGGAAAGGCTTGCAAACTCCCAGTGAGTCGAGAGAGCCCTGTTTGCCAGTCTAGATGAGTCAGCGATGTGGCAGCCACGTCATCCCGCAGACTGAAAAGTTGAGGTGGGCACAAGTGAGATATCACCAACATTACAAAGATACAATTTCAAGTTTGCCCGTTATAGTGCTGGCATTTTAAGGGCCAGGAGCAGTGATCTGGAACACTGCCATCTGGGAAGGCAGAGCCGGAAGAAACGGAGACCGGGGCTCCCTCCCCGTCCTGGGAATGTGGGAGAGAAGCGGCTCTGAGGCCCCCCTCTGTATCCCTGAAATTCTTGGCATTCTCGCCAGGGCTCCTCCCTGGCTTCAAAGTTCAGAACGGGTCCCCACCACAAACTTGAAATTGCTTACCTGAATAGATGGGTTCTGGCCACGTTTATCCACACCTGTCTTAACATCTGTTTTGGCCATTGGCCTAACCAGCTGTAGCGCTGTCTGTGGTCCTTGGAGCCCGATAGGAGGCGTTAGTCAGCGGCTGGCGCACCACCTGCCCAGAGCTGCAGGGATCTGGTTCTGGGGGGGAGTTGGTGCAATTTCTGAGTTTGGGGACTTCCCACCAGAGTGGTGGGGAGATACAGAATTAACTGTAACTTACTCAGCTCTGGTTTAGTGTTATTGATATGGGAAAGAGGAGAAATCTCAGGTTCAATCGCGGTTCTGCCCATCAGTTTTTCACTGAAACTTTGAACTATGGGTCTTTTCATCTTTGAATTTATATTTGCCTCTCCCACCCACCTTCCCCTCCTCTTTTATTTTGGTCTCCTTTCCAGCTTCATTTCTTCATACCTCATCACCTTTTAAACCAGATTATGTCCACTTTTCCTTACTGACCTTACTCTGAGAGCTACAGCTGAGGGAGGTACAGTGGGAAGACATGTAGCTTTTGCCTTATTGGAGCCTGAAAAGCTCAGAAACTCATGCTGTGAATCCCAAAACTCTGTGCTCCTCCAAGAGCTGTGAAAATCATGACACTTGGTCATAATTTTGCCTGAAAGAGTCTTTTGAATGGATGCCAGAGCCAATCTGAGGTAAATTCCAGATCCCACCCTCCGGGCATGACCCCCTCCCCACCGCCTCCAACAGCCCTTATGGCTCCCCCCCTGCCCCCCAGCCAAGAGCAGCATGGAGTGCGCAGGGCGGGGGCAGCAGATCCCAGGCTGCGGTGCAGGCTAATAGAATGCAGAGCCGGTGTTCGTCTCCAGGCTGGGATTCCACCTCAAAATCAATGCCACGTTCATCAACATCTGCAAAAGACCTACTTTTAGGCAGTAATCCTTTTCTCCCATTACCTGGGGGAGGGAGGGTGTATGCAGTTGGTGCTTTTTAAATTCCCTTGTTTCGGTAAACTTTTTCCCTGGTATCACGGAAAGGACCTCTTAAACACCACATTGTGGGTAGCTGTATCCAAAGTCTAAATAATTGGCCAGCTATGTGGAGTAACCTTTCCTGAATTCATGCAAGGGAAGGGCTCTTTAACCACAACTGAATTTCTCATGTGAAAAACCTGGCTGGGGAGGAAGTCTCAATTATGTTAGAATCAAAATTTAATACCTAACCACAAATTGAGAAAGAAGCAAAGGCTATTTTGATGGTAAAGTGACGGTCCCCATGTAGTCCACCATCTAGCACAGCATCCTTTCAGATTTGATGCTTATTCATTGTTTGTCTTTACGAGTCCCTCTCTGGTGCTGAATTGGATTTGAATTCTTGGTGAGAGGCCTCAGCATCTCCCTGGGCTGGTCTGGGCCAGTAAATAGCTGCCTGAAGTGTTTATATATTATCATGGTCAATAGTTCAGTGACATTTTGTACATTTTTTTGGTAACATTGGCATACATGATGCCCCCGCAGTTCCTTTTCTGTTTGGTAGTTTGTGCCTCTAAAATCCCCACCGTTATGTGTGTTAATTTATGAAAATAAAATTTTTTTTGAAACCTTTCAAAATATTCTCAAGGCTGTTATCTTATTCTTGTGGCTTGGCATTAATAAGTTAAAATTGTACATGAAATGTCATGAGGTTGGGACTAGAATTTGGTTGCTGTGGTCCAACAGTTCCCCAGGAGCTACTTTTAGGGTAATATCTTCACTTTGGCTACATCATTGCAAACCACACATACCTGTTTCAGGCAAGTAAGCTTCTGCTATTTATGACTTGCTCCTCTGCTCCTGTTCTATAAAGATAGCTTTTCCTGGGACAATGAAGGTGGCCATGATCCTATGGTGAACTTGGACCCATAGCCTACAGGTCACACACCACATTTAGCTCTGCAGCACAGCTTTGGGAACAACGTTCTCAGAGAAGCCAGGACCTGGAAATGCAATAAAACAAAATTAGTCAAGATAGAAGTAGCTGAAAGCTAGTGCAGGGTGTGTCAAAGGCGTCGGGGTGAATAAGAGGCAACGAACCAATTGATGTTTCTCATCTTTTTCCCTTCTGCTCTAAAAATAAATCTTTTGTTTTAAAGAGGCCAAACAAGAGTACACATTCCATGATTCCATTTTCATACAAAATTTAAGAACAGGCTACACTAATACAAGTGCTAGAAGTCAGAGCAGTAATTGCTTATGGATAGCAGAGACTACGGAAGAGAGTGAGGGAACATTCTGGGATAATGGTAAAGTTCTATATCTTGACTGGGTTAATGGTTGTGTGGCTGTACACATTTATCAAACCTTGCTGAATTATACTTAAGAATTATGCATTTCTGTATATGTACAAATACATGTTTTAATCTCTAGGGTAACCATTAAAAGGTTAGTACAGAATTATAATTCATCAGTTAACAGATGGGAAAGAATGAAATAAACTTGATACATCCAAAAGTAGTTGAGAAAAAAGAATATAAAACAATTTGGTTAAATAGAAATGTAAGATTTAAATCCAAATCTATGGGTAACAATAACAGACTAAAAGCTTTAATTAAAAGATGAATATTGTCAGACTGAACACAAAATCCAATAATACGCTGTTTACAAAAGACATGCTATTAATATAGGGACATACAGAATTTGAAGATATGATAATGCAAAAAGACAAACATTAAACAACAAAAAACAGCATAGCTGTACTAATATCAGATAAGGCTAGACATTAAGGCAAATAGCAGCATTAAAGACAAACAAGGACATTTATCATGGTAAAAAGGCAGATCCAGCAGGAAGATATAACCACCTAGAATTTGCATCAACGTTAAAATAAATAAGAATTGTCACAACTAAAAGGGGATATACACAAGTATATTTTATAGCTAGAGGTATGAACATCTTTCTACTGGCAACGCTGCTCCCGGGTCCAGGTTAGCACAGCAGGAGGGCGCTCCTTCCACACCTACCCAATCTGTTTTGGAAGGGGCCCGAAGCCCTTGGCTGCTGGGGCGGGTACCAGCTGAGGGGAGGGGCCCAGTCGACTCCGCCCACACGCCCCCGTGTTCCTTATTGGCCCCCTGAGCTCGAGGTTCGTGACGCCAGAGGCATGCGCCTCTCGTGCGAAAGGGGGCGTGGCTCACTGAGAAGCAGGAGAAAAGATGGCGGCTTCCGTGGGGCATCGGTACCTGAGGTTGCCATGCGGGGTCACGGCTTGGCGGAGCAGGTACAGTGCTTGAGGGGGCCGTCTCAAAAAGGGGGAAGGCGTGCACCAAATTGGGGTCGGGAGAGAGGAGTCGTTTCTTTATCGCCGGCTCGCCGTGGAGACGGAGCCACCACCACCTTGAGCTGAGGAGCAGGTGCGACTACCGCAACATAGGGCGGTCCGAGTTTTGTTAGAGTGTCGCGTAAGGGCTCTCGCTTCACCCTTTCCAGCTAAGTAAAAGTGCACAAGGTACAGAAGAAGAAAAAAGAGGGAATAAGCACCGTGCCACGACTAGAGTCGAGGCAAGACTGTATACTCTCTCAGGGATTCGTGTTCTTGGAAGGGGTAGTGTGATGTGGAAAGAGCACTGGACTGGGAGTCGGGCGGCTTTCACGTCGGAGTCTTGTTCTTTGAAGCAAGGGGTTTGGATTCTGTGATCTAAAAGTAGTCTGCTAAGGAATTGGGGTCTTGATTACTCTGGTGACGCTCAACTCTTAGGTTCTTAGAGCTGAAAGAGACCCGAGGGGTCATCTAAATCCAGCTCTTTTTGGAGTTGGCGAAATTGAGGCCCTGAGAGAGGGAAGGACTTGCTCAGTTTCACCCAGCCAGTTAGCAGCAGGGCCAGGACCCCGACCCGGGTATCTTTCTGTCTCCTCCAAGGACTTTTTCCTCAGTATGAGCATTTATTATTATTACCCCAAATGGCTTGGGAGCCCTTCAGACTCTCGGAAAATGGATTAAAATGTTGGCAGCTGTGACTCAGAGTCAGCTGCTTCATTTCCGTGAAGGAAGGTTTGGGACGCATGATACTTTTGTGTTTCCAGGAGGGTTCGTTTTATAGGCGTTGACCAAAGCTTGCTCTGTGACCTGAGGTGACGTATCATTGTAATTTGGGCGAAGTTAAAGGACAGCTGAATTTGGACTGAGAG